ATCCGTTGCGCGGCGCATGGTTCCAGGAGTCTGTGCTTCGCGGAGGAAAGGACCGCAGCATCGAGGGACTGACATGGACTCTGGATCCCCAGGAGGAAGGGCCTGATGGTTCCAAGTTGCCCGGCCAACTGCGCCTGTTCAGCATTGGGTACTCTACGGCCGTTACCGAGTGGGATCTAGAGCAGGGACGCCCGCTGCGTCATTCGAGCGGAAACTATGGAGAAATCTGGTGTCTTGCTGCCCAGCCCCGCTGGCAGCCTACAAAGAGAGGCAAGGATGGAAAATTCCTGCCTCCCGCTGAGGGAGAGTTCACAGGACAGCATTTGGCTGCTGGATGTGCAGATGGTTCAATTGTGATCTTGTCTACCGCGGATAATGATTTGAAGTTCCTTCGCTTGATGCGCCCTTCTACCAAGAGAGCCCGTGTGCTCAGCGTTACCTTCCAGAACCGTCACACCATTGTTGCAGGATACGCCGACAGCTCTATCCGTTTGTTCGATATTCGCAGTGGTCAGCAGTTGAGGACGATTTCGCTCGGAAAGGGCCCTACGGGTGGTTCCAAGGAACTCCTGGTTTGGTCGGTCAAGTGTCTTCCTGATGGTACAATTGTGTCTGGTGACTCTGCCGGTGAAATTCGGTTCTGGGATGCCAAGAACTACTCTCTTATTCAGCGGATTCAGAGTCACTTGGCGGATGTGCTTGATGTGGCTTGCAGCTCAAATGGCGATACAGTGATTAGCGGTGGTGCCGATCAGAGAACAGTCGTATACCGCAAGCAGGCTGGTGATAAGGGTGACAAGAAGTCTCGTTGGGCCGAGCTAATGCACCGACGATACCACTCGCATGATGTCAAGACTTTCGCTGTTTACGAGACAAAGGACATCAGCATTGCCGTGTCTGGTGGTACGTACACACCTCCCATCAGATCTATCTACATGCTTGGGTACTAATTCATATTTTGCAGGCCCCGACGCAACTCCTGTTGTCTTGCCGCTGCGTGAATTCGGAAAGGAGCACCACCGGAAATTGTCCAACCTACCTCAGATCCCTCAACTTACCTCTTCGCCCGCCTCTCGTTTGGTGATGAGCTTCTGGGATAGAGAAGTCAGCTTATGGCGTGTATCCCGGGGGCCAACCTCTGTACACGAAAATCTTGATGGTCAAAGGCATAAATTGGTCGGAAAGGTTATGATCCAGGTAAGATTCTATTGTTCTTGTTGGGATGTTGAATTGTGCTGATACCATCTTCATTTAGGGCGAAGAAAACATCACCTCTGCCGGATTATCTTCAGACGGAAAATTGCTTGCTATTGCTACAGTCTCTGATGTGAAGTTGTTTACTGTTCGTCGTCGCAAGGGTGACGAGAAGGGAGCCTTGCGGATACAGAAGATTGATACCCCCAAGTCCCTCTCCTCCACAGGCGCTCGCCTTGTGGCTATTTCCGCCGACAGCAAGTGGCTTTCGGTGATCCGCCCTAACAGCGATGTTTATGTGGCAAGAATTCAGCCCGCCTCTTCGGCCACAGAGAAGCCTCAGGTCCTACCGCAATTGGCACACCTCAAGCGTGCCACACGTCATGTACGACACGAGAAGGCCTCTCACGGCACCCTGGGTGATTATGAGAGAGCTATTCGGACTGTTGTTTTCTCCGAAGACAGCAAGATCTTGGCTACGGGTGATCTGTCTGGTTGTGTGGATACTTGGGCTCTGAGTGCTGCGACCGAACCTATTACAAATGGCAAGTCTAAGAGCAATGGAGCCTCCGACTCTGACGACGAGTCCTCCGATGACGAAGACGAAGATACTGTCATTGAGGGAGAGCGTTGGAGCACTGCTGCTTCCGAGTCTCCCATTCCCCGAATGAAGTCAGGAATCACCCTTCTGTCCTTCCGCCCACAAAGCACCCCGACAAAGGCATTGACCAACGGTGCCAACCACACATCCGGAGAGGACAGGCTGATGGTCCTTACCAGCGAGCATCAACTCATCGAATTCGAGGCTCTCAGTGGAAAGCTTTCAGATTGGTCACGACGCAACCCCAAGGCTTACCTCCCAGCCGAGTTCCGGGGCGTGAAAGACCGTGCCATGGGCTGCATGTGGGATATCTTTGAGGGCCGTGAACGTCTCTGGTTGTACGGAACCTCTTGGTTGTGGATGTTTGACCTGCAGCAAGATTTCCCAGCCTCCGAGGATGTCGAGGCCGAGCAGAAGTCCTCTGGCCAGCTTGTTCAGGCTTCAAAGCGCAAGCGCGATCCCCTCGAGGACGTCGAAAATGACCGCAAGAAGGCCAACACTGGTGCTGGTGATCGCATTCCCCGTTCGCAGATGGACCTCCACCTTGGCACCAAGGTTCGCAAGATCGTTGGCAGCGACCAATCCCAGGGCGAGTGGATCTCACTCGACTCGGAACAGCCGCGTACTCTAGGAGACGATGACGAGGCTTACGAATATGACGAGACCTTCGCGGCTGGTAATGAGGGCGCCCTGGCTCGTCTCCGACGTGGGGACGCAATCGTTCAGCCTGACACCCCGCAAAAGGGATCTAAGGGCAAGCCGACTGTCAATGGACTTGGCGATACTCCGAAAAAGCAACTGGTCGTGGCCAATGACCAGGTTGCACGGCGTTGGTGGCACACGTACAAGTACCGCGACATCTTTGGTATTGTGCCCCTCAACACCACGTCAGGTGACGAGGCGGGCGGCCTCGAAGTTGCGATTATTGAGCGGCCTTTGTGGGATGTTGAGTTGCCTGGTCGCTATGTGAAGGATTATGAGTGAAATATTTAAAAAAGAGTTGTTTTGTCGAGGCTCTGTCTCGACCGTTGTGTAATATGGAAGAGCATGCAGGAGCACATTTGACTGGCGCTTTGTACAGGGATTCTTTGTCATTACCCAAAATAGATACTGGTTTTCTCTTATGCATTATGCAGTATTCCCGTATATGCTTTGCCTAGTAGTCCTCTAATTCCACTATAGGTTGCCTTACCGTGTCGTGCTGAGGGGCTAAGGCGGGATTTGATGTACAGGGGTTAGGGGCAAGCATTATACTTAGTCCTGTCTTAAAGTGGAAGAAGGATGATTGACTCGAACATTCGAAAGAAATCTAATCTGCAAGTATCGCCATGTATCATACTCGAAGGATAGAGGAATGACTTGTGGAGTCGAAGTAAACAGGTGATCTGAATCCGGTGCGGGGTGCTTTTGCCTGAGGTTGATTACCTGCTAACTCAACTTTCCAGTTTCAACAGTGCCTTCGCATTCAGAAGCATGGATTTTCCTTTCTTCTAAAGCTCAAAGATACTGCAAATCACTCCGTCATCCCTTAGGAAGACCGCAAGCCCATCTTCCACGTGAATTCCTCTTCCGATCTTATCGTGCGGAGGCCTTATCGTCATCCGAACTGCACCGACGTGACCTCCCTCTTCCCTCCTCTAGCTCTCTGGTCAGAGCCAGGACAACGATTCCATACCATCGAATTATCAAAGGGGTGAAGAGAGAAAGAGCATAGGGCCGGTCTCCCCGATACGAGCTGAGGGCCGGGCATCACTGACCGAGCACCGCCCGAAGTCGCTCAGGATACCGCATGAGCTTTCGTGACAGCCTAAAGCTTCCCAACATAAGCCGGATTCTGCGGACGCTTTCCTAGCCTGAGGCTTACCGTTTGCCTCATATACTTTTGAATACTGACCCAGCCTCCTTATACTTTGAAACCCTCTTTGACACCTCCCAGCGATCGCAACCCAACAAGCCAACATGGGTCTCACATACAATATCTACTTGACTTCCAACAAGATATTTGGTTGCAAGACATGCAAAACGCATCTTGCAGACTACAACGATATTATAAGTCGGGTAAGTCTCCAAGACGGTGTCACTCCATCAACCACTAACCCACCCTTCACAGAACTTCCGCGGCCAACACGGCAAAGCATATCTATTCAACATGGTCGTCAACGTCAACCAGTCTGACGCCGTGGAGCGTAGCATGACCACCGGCCGCCATATCGTACGCGACATCACCTGCCGCCAGTGCAACGAAACCGTAGGATGGAAGTACGACAAAGCATACGAGGCCAGCGAGAAATACAAGGAAGGGAAATTCATTTTGGAGGAGGAACTGCTCTGCATTGTGTGCTGAAGGCACGAACTCCATGGTCCCGACGAAGACCTCCGATACCATTCCATTACTCGCGATCAGATCAGCGATTCCTTTTTTACGCCCGCATATTTCTGCTGCCAGATTGATGATTGATTCAGCCGGTCTGCTTTTTTTCTTTTCCAATTGCCAGCCTTGGTGTTTCTGACAGGCGTTGCCGGAGCACATGTATTTTGCCAATGCGCCCTTTCCATGAGCCGCTTATTGCAGGACAGGGTAGGCTCGGGCGCACTAGGATGTTTTATAGATACATCCTAGACATGATGGCTATTGAAATCTTGTTTTAGTTTTTTTGAATTCGTGATAATCGAATCTCTACTCAATTTGGAATAGACGCAGCGAAGTTGGACTGCATTGGGCGAGATCTAGCTTTAATCGCTCTATGTAGACAGTGATCTCCTATATGAATCGATGGTAAATATTGGTTTCCCGAAGTGAATTCTCATAGATGTACCCCGCCTCGGTCCCGGTATCCAGATCTATGACGCTGATGCCCAACTTGAAACACCCCCAGCACAACACCACCACTCGAACTATTGTAAAACAATCATCAATCCCAGATGAAATAAACCTCCAAGCCCCCAGTATCTATCTCGAACACCCCAAACTCCGAACCATCCCACTTCCCTGCGTGGAAGAACGTTCAACCCCATCAACCAGTCGTCGCAGACCCACCACGCACAGAAAGCCGTAAATGGACCCGCAAATAATTCCTCAGCAATTTCTTTGACAAAGACCACTCGGAACCAGAGCTCCGTTCTCACAGACCATTCTGTTAAGCTCGGTTGATTCCGAATTACCCCTTCACAGCTTTCGTAATTTTCAGGCCCTCTTTACTACAAAATGGCTGCCTCTATGATGCAGGCTGTGGTTTTCCATGAGCCGTATAATGTTGCTGTTGAGCAGAGACCTATTCCTACTGTGCAGGAACCTGAGGATGTGGTTATTAAGGTGACGTATACGGCGCTTTGCGGGAGGTGAGTTTGGGTCTACTATATAGATTGTACAAAAATTTAGATGGTGGTTTTACTAATGGGTTGTTGTTATAAAGTGATTTGCACACTTACCGTGGTGTTGAGCCTGCTGAGCCTGGCTTTATCATGGGCCATGAGTTTGTAGGTGAGATTGTCGAGCTTGGCAGTGCGGTGAAGAGCTTCAAGATGGGGGATCGCATTGTTAGTGCTTTCACGACTTCGTGGTATGTATATATGTACTTTGAATCTCTTATGGATGATGCTAATACTGCAATCAGTGGCCAATGCTACTACTGCAAGCAAGGATTCTCCTCTCGCTGCGAAAAGAGCAAGCTTTTCGGATGTGAGGTTCTGAACGGTGGTCAGGCTCAATATGTAAGTTTAACCTTTCTCTTCAGAACCCAAGCTAATCCTATCAGATTCGAGTGCCCAACGCCGAAGGTTCGGCTATGATCGCCCCCGAAGGCGTTGACGACAAGTATCTCGTTCTTATGGGTGATATCTTTCCAACAGGCTACTTCGCCGCTAGCAACGCATTCAAGAACTCGACACCGCAGCAAATTGCTGAGCAAACTGTAGTCGTTATCGGCTGTGGACCCGTTGGTCTTTGCGCCCTGATCAACGCACTCGAGTTCAAGCCTAAGCATCTTCTGGCTGTTGATTCTGTTCCGTCTAGGTTGGAGCTTGCGAAGTCTCTTGGTGCTGAGCCGTGGAACTTCATGACTGATCGTGAGGGGTTGGATAAGCGCGTTCTGGAGTTGACGGAGGGACGCGGTGCTGATGCTGTTATTGAGGTTGTGGGATTGAGTCCTGCGCTAAAGACTGCTTATGATCTTTTGAGGCCTTGGGGTACTATTAGCAGTGTTGGAGTTCATAATGCCGAGGTAGGATGATGATGATGATGTTTGGATTGGATTTTACTGATGATTTACAGATTCCTTGGGGCGGTGCTGATGCCTATAACAAGAACCTTACAGTCCAGATGGGTCGGTGCCCCGTGAGGTCGGTTGCACCGCAGGCTTTGGAGATTTTGAAGAAGAACCAGCATAAGCTTGGGTATGTGGATTCGCCTTTTACCTTGGAGCGCATGGTTTGCTAATTATCGTTAGATTCATGACTGAGAAATTGATGCCGCTGTCGCAGGCTGTGGAGGCATATGAGTTGTTCAATGCTATGAAGGTTCAGAAGGTTATCTTCTTGCCTGACCAGTAGGGTTGGGTTGTCAGTTCTACATAAAATTTCATGCATGGTGGTGTATAGGGTGGGTGGTGTATGGGTTGAGGGTTGATTCGATGTGGACTTGGTTGTGAGGCTTACTATTTCGATGCATTATCTAGCTGGGGTTGGACAGTATATCGAATAGAGAGGAGTTGTTCAAAACAAGATGGATATTCCAAGTCGGACTGCACTCCAGAGCTTCAATACTCCATTGATTCGTCAACCCCGCAAAAGCAAGGGGGAGTCCAGTTCCTTGCATTTGAGCATTCCCCACGTCAGGTCAGGGAAGATTCTTGTTAGCGTCCAATAATGACAAGATGACAAGTATAAATCTCATGCTCAACCCAAAGCGCATTCTGAACGTTTCGTAGTCAATGTGGGCCCGGCCAAGGTTGCACATTCAAATTTCTTATCCCAGCTGATCAAGATGTTAAGTATAGCTTGGGTCAACAGCAAGAGTCGGATGAAGACGGAAACATTGTTTTCTCTCCAACCGTTGAAGCTGGGGGGTGTCTTGGGATCCACAAGAGCTGCACGTCTGTACCACTCGACTTGGTCGTGTGCCTGTTCTCGCACGAGATCAAATACCATAACATGAGCCTCCATGAGACTCAGAAGTGAAGACTCCGTAGATCAAGCTTGAGTATTCGATTGAATTAATTGATTCAGACTGAAAGGCCCAGAATGCGCAATGGGGCACTGCACAGTGGGTATAGTGGACTAGTGACCGAGATAGGAAGATGATCCGGTGCGACTTTGGTCGGATATTTCACTGGAAGTAAAAGATGAATAATATTGATGGCAAAGAGAAATAGACTTGTGAATGGACTCGATGTGTGTAGTCTATATTCTAGATGGGGTGGGTGAAGGTAGCGTATGATGTATATCATGGGTGGGTGGAGATGATGTATCCATCAACTGGTGTCTCCGCTAAACTCACCACATTCCCTCTTCCAACTCTTTCACGACGACTTCCCCCTCCTCCATCTCCAACTCTCCTCCCTCCCACCCTTATTCTCGTCCTCTTTTCCGCTTTCCCCCTTTTCCTCTTCTCCCATTTCTCCTCTTCCTAATTCCCGCTCCTCCCCTCCTTTTCCCCTCCGCTGATTTCTCCACAATCTCGGACCCTCATCGGTACGCTACCCATCCACGTTTGAGTCTTCTGCCAACTACACTGGCTCTGATCATGTACTCCGTGATCGCGCAAAGTCACTTGTGATGTGCGCTGCTATTTTGACCCCGCAGAAGCTGACCATGGTGTTACTAAGTGAAGCTCCCCTCTTTTCCGCGACCGTCTGACTTCCGAACTCATCTGAATCCGAAACCCCCCCCATCTCAACACCGACTCTTCCCCCGTTTCCGCATAAATAATGGACGCTATGGATGCCACCGAGGTTCACCAGACTGTGGTCGAGGAGCCCATGCCCGACGCCTTCAATGATGTCCCCGAGGGCGACATTGATGCCACCCCCAAGACCGAGGAGGAGTACGCGGCGTCGATGCTGACTCTGCGTGCTATCGTCTCATCCAAGGAGGCCGGTGTTATCATTGGCAAGGCCGGAAAGAACGTTGCCGACCTGCGCGATCAGACCGGCGTCAAGGCGGGCGTGAGCAAGGTCGTTCCTGGTGTTCACGACCGAGTCCTGACTGTCACTGGTCCCCTGCAAGGCACTGCTCGCGCCTATGCGATCGTGGCCAAGGGACTTCTGGAGGGAGCCCCGCAGATGGGCATGGGTGGTGTTGTCTCCAACAATGGGACCCACCGTAAGTACTTCGATTTTCCCCACCTGGGGTTCAAAGAGTCTCGTCGAGGGATTATTTGTACTCTGGGAGATGCCTCTGTAGATTCCTTGCGAATATGGAGCGTTTAGACTAGATCAGGACATTTGCTAACTGCGTTGGTTTTAGCCGTGCGACTCCTCATTTCCCACAACCAGATGGGCACCATCATCGGACGACAGGGCTTGAAGATTAAGCACATCCAGGACGCATCGGGCGTGCGCATGGTCGCCCAGAAGGAGATGCTCCCTCAGTCTACTGAGCGCATTGTGGAGGTGCAGGGCACCCCCGACGGTATCGAGAAGGCTGTCTGGGAGATCGGCAAGTGTCTCATCGATGACTGGCAGCGTGGAACCGGCACTGTGCTCTACAACCCCGCTGTGCGCGCAACAATTGGCTCTCAGCCTCTCACCAACAACGGCAACGCCGCCCCGGCAGCCGGCAATGGGTATGCTAGCCGTCAGTACAATCGCACCGGCAATGGTGCTGACTTCAGCGACAACAGTGGCTACAACCGTCGATCCAACTCCGATGCTGGTTCTCGCGGATTCCCTCTGGTTACCGAGGATGGCGAGGAGATTCAAACCCAAAACATCAGCATCCCCGCGGACATGGTTGGCTGCATCATCGGTCGGGCTGGAACCAAGATTACCGAGATCCGCCGGAGCTCTGGAGCCCGCATCTCTATTGCCAAGGCTCCCCACGATGAGACTGGTGAGCGCATGTTCACCATCATGGGCAGTGCCCAGGCCAACGAAAAGGCCCTATACCTTCTTTACGAGAACCTCGAGGCTGAGAAGACTCGCCGTCACCAGCTGCCCCAGGAGTAAAGGATATCTAATCCTGGCAGTCTGAATGAAATCGCTTGACACGATTCCTTTTGTGTTTCTTGAACCTTATGACTTCAGAGACTGTCGGTCATGATCAGCGGCGGTCATGTGCAAGCGCGTTTCCTTTTCTCTTTTGATTCCCGTTACCGATTCCTTCTCCCCTCGCCTCGACTTACGAGGTAAAAGTTGCAGTGATATGTTCTCCAGGTTGGATATTGGTTCTTGCAGTTCGACTGGGCTCGACAAGATTTGACCGCCTTTCCTCGAGTCACTTATCGTACTCTCTTTTACCTCGGAAATCCAGCCTTCGTTTCGCCAAAATCCCACGCGATCAACCACCTATATCGCATACCTTTTTCTTTGGCTTCTCCCTCCCAGTCTCTACCTCTTGCCACCTCATATTTTTCCTTCCCGCTTTTGTCTCCTAAACCCTAAACATCAAATCATCTCTCCAGGGACTATGTTCTGTAGCCCTGACCCATCCGCCCCTTTCTCATGTCCTAATTGCAATGCTCGCCCCCTATTCTTTCCTAGTCTGCGCCTCTTTTCGAAACTCCTCAAACCCGAAAAAAAAAAAACCATTTCATACCTCCTGTTCTCCTAATTCTCGTCTTCAATCCGCCCTTCTATTTCTCCATTTGCTCTCTTGTTCCTCCCAATATTTTACGTCCAAAGTGACCGGGACATGTCACCGCATATCCAGAGTTTACACTCCATATTCAAAAGACGATACCTCTGCCATGGATAGGCATACGATATGGTCAATATTGTTCTTTGTACTTCTGCCGTAGACGACCTAGTTATAGTTTACAGAGATGTAGGTTATGATTAGCTTAAACCGAAGCTGACTCGAAGCTCAATAAGCCTGGTGGACCTATGTGTCGTTGTATTTGAGAATACGGCGTATACGAAGCTCGGCAGTGATTTATCTTGACCCCTGATCGGCATCTGTTGATGGTTTCACCTTGATCAAATTCTACCCCCGTATGATCCATATCCGTTGTATTTGAGAATACGGCGTATACGAAGCTCGGCAGTGGTTAATCTTGACCCCTGATCGGCATCTGTTGATGGTTTCACCTTGATCAAATTCTACTGCCGTATGATCCATCTCCGTTGTATACGGCCCAACGTGGTAAGGTCTAATGGGCCAAATGGGTCATATTAAAGACATGAAACAGCCATGACCCTCGCTTAAAATTCCCGGCGGGTTCCATTGATATTAAGCGTTAAGAAAGATCTTTCATTGGATATTTCTCAGCGCTTACTGGGTGATACTGCATAGCATGAAAGGATGTAAATTAACTCGGCAATGATGGGTCTCCACAGCGCCATTAATACCCTAAACCCACCCCCTTTGCCGACATTATACCATATAGTCTGACGGCAGGAAATTTATAACTACAAGTATCCCCGTCACAAGGGCACTTCCAACCTCCAACCAGCTGTATCTCCGGAAATGTGGTCAAGTCTCATTTTTATCGCCTACATCGGACATGCATCCGCAACCCTATCCGGCCGAGTCGGCCCAATAACATCTTTCGCCTCAAAAGCAGCAACAAAAACCTGCAACATAATCAACTACGGCGCCACAACAAATGGCTCAGACATTAGTTCTGCACTCTCATCTGCATGGAGCGACTGCGCTGTCGGAGGTCTTGTCTACGTTCCACCAGGCAACTGGTCCCTATCCACATTTCCCTCACTCAAAGACGGTGAAACAAGCGCTTTCCAACTAGATGGCGTAATCCACCGCACAGGCTCAGATGGCGACACGATGCTCTCATTCCGAAATTGCAAAGACTTTGAGTTCTTCTCCGGAAACTCTCAAGGCGCAATCCAGGGCTATGGAAATGAGTACCTGGTAAACGGTGACTACGGACCCCGGTTAACTCGGTTCCAGGATATGGGCAATTTCTCAGTTCATGGGATTGCGTTGGTGGATTCACCTTCGTATTATTTGACGCTTGATACCGTTACTAATGGTGAGATTTATAATATCGTGATGCGGGGTTCTACCGGTCTTGGTGGGACTGATGCTATTGATATTTGGGGAAGTAATAATTGGGTTCATGACGTTGAGGCGACGAATGGGGATGAGTGTGTGACTGTCAAGAATCCTGCTGCGAATTTCTTGATTGAGAGTGTTTATTGCAATTGGAGTGGGGGGAACTCGATTGGCAGTTTGTCTACTGGGACTGACATCTCGGATATCACTTATCGGCATATTTATGCTAATAATGCTGATCCTGCCTTCATCAAGTCCAACGGTGGGAATGGGACCGTGAAGAATGTGGTTTGGGATACTGTTACTGTGCGGAACTCGGCTTATCCTCTTTCTATTGATTCTGATTGGGGGGTGCGAAAGGGGAGGATGGGGTTCAATATACCAATTTTACCTTCAAGGTTTGTCTATCGCCTTGAATATCTCTGCTGATTTGGCTGTGACTGACGGAACAGAACTGGCATGGCTATAACGATAATAGCCGTCGTCCCAATATCAGACTGTGGTGTCCGGCTGGAGTTCCCTGCACGGATATCAAATTGGAGAATGTGAATCTCTGGACTGAAGACGCTGGCTATGCTGTTCAAGATTGCTATAATGCATATGGACAAGGCGCTTGCATGAGAAATAGCTCTGGCTCTCTGTCGACATTCACTTCAGCCCGTACCATGACTGCTGCGCCGTAAGTACTCTCTATCTGGACTAAGATTTCATCACTGACATTGTCAAGATCGTACTCGACGAATTGGATGCCAAATGATTTCTCTACGGGGCTGCTTGCCAATTCTTCTTTTACGATTCCTCCGGTTCCGACTAGCTTTTACCCGGGATTGAAACCGAGTTCTGCGCTTCTTCATCTTTCTGGGCCTGGTGGGTTGGTTTCTGGGAGTGCTAGTGCATCTCGAAGTGCTAGTGCGTCTAGAACTGCTAGTGCTTCTCCGAAGATTACATCGACTCCTCTCACTCAAAAGTCGGAGACTAGATCTGCATCTTCTGAGCCCACTACAACCTCGGCGGCTGCTACCACGGAGACTCACTGTGGGAACCGACCACCTCCTCACCCTGTTCCTATGGGCCATGAGCATGTGGCAGAGCACCTGAGAAAGCATAACCATGGATGGCATTAGTTCTAGCAGTTAGTGGCTCATAATTTTGTCTTCCTGTTCAAATTTTGAATACATGTATAAATCTCTTACACTTCAATGATATTCAACGGAATCCAGATAGACATAGATTTTGGATGTCGGACCGGTCACCAAACCTTGTCCAAGCAGATATTATGGGAAATTAGCAGATCAAAGATTATCAACTATGCCGTGCCTGGTATAAATGACAGTGCTTTCCCTTGGCGCCTTTGAAGGTACTCTGAGTACACTCCAGGGCCTGGCGGATATCCGACATAGGAAACACAGCGTCCACCTTCAACGCTGCCATGCCATCACGCATGAGTTCAAAAGTTCAGCGACAGACTAGACTAAAGCGACCCACCCAAAGTCGACTCAAGAATAGAATAAAGCTCCTCCCCAAAGAACCCTACAGAGTCCAAACTCAACTCACTAACAACCACATCCTTCGTCTTACACCCACCACTCACCTCAACGCCCTCCAACCTCTCCTTCAACCAAGCCAACGCCCCCGCCGAACCCACAATACCCTCAGTCTCATGGTTCCCCACTAAATCCCTCAGATACTCAATTCTCGCCCCATCAGCACAATACTCCGCCACAAGCTCATCAGTATCAGCAACAGGACTAATCTCATCCCCAACAGCCTTGTAAATATAAAGCGGCGCAACAGGAACCCCCCGAAGCCCCAACTGCCCCGTCCAATGGAAAACAGATCTGGGCACACTCATCTCAAACGCAGCCTTTCCCCCACGGAAAAACGAATACAAATTCTTCCCCAGTCCCCTAGACGTCGCTTGAGCTAGACACCCATTTGCGATATAATAGAATTCATCCGTCTGCTCAGGTAACAGATTCTCTTCCAACCATACAGACATATTGGGGAAAGCTTTCGATTGTCCATATATACCCGAAAACGCTAACCCAACCGCAGAGGTATCATGGATTGTTTCTACTATCGAGCTGATATTAGGCACCGTGCCTCCGACTGCTATGCCGGCGAAATCGAGCTCAGGCGCGTAGGATGGTTGCAGCTCTGCGGCCCAGGTGGACGCTAGACTTCCACCCGAGTAGCCCCATAAGGCGTATTTAGGGTTTGAGAGGCCGAGGCTAGATCCAGAAGAGAGGACTGCACGGGTGGAATCTAGGACCGCATAGCCGGCTTGAAGACCCGTTGTGTATTGCGCTTGCAGGCCTTCGTAGTCGGTTGTGTAGAGCCACCAGCCTTGGTTTAGGGCCGCTACCATCTGTTTGTGATTAGTTTGGGTTGGATTTGGAGGGATGGGATACGTACGAATGGGACATCTTCTGAGACGTTGCCTGCGAGTAGATTCGATAGGCTTTCATTTTCGGCTTGGAGTGTGTAGGAGGGACTGCAGTCTACGTTTGCACTGTCGTAGAATGTTTGGTAGCCCAGGAGTTTTGTTGGGTCGGAGTTGTAGGGCTCGATTAGTGTGACGACGGCTGCGGCGGCGTCACCTAGATTATCCGTTGTCCGGAATAAGAATTGGGACACTGCCTTGACGGATATATTCACTGGGAAGGAGAGGAAGGATTCCAGCTGGGGATCCACGGTGCGAGAGCGGATTACCTCGCCCGGATTATAGGTGTGTATATTGGCTGGTTGGTCATAGAAGGCATCTTTGGATGGTGGGATGAGGGCTGATGTGAGGACGGATGGGAAGAACGAGATGAAAAATGTGATTAGGAGGGTTGACCACATTTTGCACGGTATTCTACTGCTGTGGATTTGTTGATTGTAGCAGACCGTTCCCTATTTATACTTGTACCAATGTCTATGTCTAGGTCCTAGGCGTAGTTTACTTGTGTTTGATAGGTCAGATATGTGACCCAGGTGTTCTCGGGTGATTTTTATTGCATAGATAGTGCGATCCTGCGAGTTGTGTCGATCTTCCAAGATCGTGGAGCCCGATCTAACCGTGATCCACTTGATTCCTGTAAGATGACTTAAACCCGATGGTGAGTTTTGAGTTGGTGGGAATGTAGAGCCGGGTTCAGTGTGTTTAATATATTTGACAGCACTTTAACATTGAACCATGGGATTAGAACTGGTGTCATAGAGCTGATAATTATGTACGTAGTCGAGGGTTGGGTCATACAGTTCCTGGACGGGGTACTTCCGAACTCCGCTTATGTCACAGATGAAAATTCGCAAGCTCGCACAATGACGACCCCATATGGTTTAGTGCTTAGTGAGGCCTGGAGTGGGTCTATGCAGAGGATTGTAAGAGCGCACTTATTGCCGTTTAGGTATATGCGTTCGTCGGCTAAACATGATCGTCATTGCTCACTACTGTTTTGTCCCCGGTGTCGAAATATATTAACGGAACAAGGCTGACATTGCCGATTCTCCCAAGGTTCATGCATCTTGATTACATAAAAATTGATTGTTTGATCTGAAATCTCATTCATTCGTTCGTAAAGAAACTCGTCCACATAAGCATGTATTCACGCTTCACGTCACCAAACAAGGAAAAGATACCTTGGTCACTTGACCAGGTTAACAAGATGTACAGATGCAAAGGAAACAGACGCCGGTGATGGTTGATTTTGTACATGGTCAATCAAACCCCTGAATCAATCCGGGTTTGAAAGAGTGACACTCGAGACATGAACATGAAAGGAAAGGCCATGGGCCGTGGGTCTCAAAATCGAGAGAAAAGTCATATGCATCGACGTTGAGTGCTAATAATGCAAAGGTCTCCAGACCTGATCCGTATGCATACGAAAAGCGTCTAGGAATCAAAGAAGAACGCCGGAAGCCGAAATCGCCGGATGGAAATAGATGCGAGGTTGCTGCGTGAAAAGTTCAAAGGGGCATGGACCGGTTCGGTCGGGGCATGCAATGGCGACATATGCGAAAGGAGATAATGACTAGTCAATGCTGTCGTCTAGGTTGACGGGGTCATCAGGCATAACTGCGGAACGGCGTCTCAGGGCGAATTTGCGACTTCCCAGACTGTTGGTTCGCAGGCGGGGTTGTTGGATGGGAGTATAGCTGGTGACGGATTTTCCAGAGGGACCGCTAATGCGCGTCTGGGAGGGCTCTAGCTGGGAGGGGCGGGGGTTTTCTTCAATTCCAGGCGAAAGCCCATATCGTCGAGATCCTGCCTGGATGTTGGAACGCGATGTTGCGGGAGAGTAGACGCCAGGCGTCATGTAGCTGCGACGGAATGGAATGCCAGATTGAGATGGAATGCCAGTATGAGTCGGGATGCCAGATTGGGATAAAGTAGAGGGTGTTCGAGGTTGCGATGCTGGGGCTTGTGGAGTCGATGGTGGATACTGTGGGGAGCGAGGCGTGAGCCCAAGGCCTTGCTCTTGCTGAACACCAGAGCCTGAACGATTAACCGAATGGCCATAGGAGAATCGCTGTCGCGGCGATACACTTTGAGCAGGACTCGGAGTAGCGACCTCGGTCATTGCGCGGGTAAGTGAGCGGCTGGAGTTAGGGGTTTCCACGGCCGCGTCCTCAGTAGGTACCCTGCGACTGCGGAGAGAGGTGGAGATGCGGTGAAGGCGACTTGGTGGGGTAGTCAGGTTGGGTGATTGGGCTGGTTTAGATTCATTGATCGATCCAGGGCTGGGGTTGGCCACTGAAGCTCTGCGCGCCTCGAGGCGACTCGATATGCGGTTGGTACTCGGGCGTCGCTCGACACTTTCTGGTTCATGGCTGGCGGCCCGGTATGAGGACGTTGGCCTCGACGGCTCCGCTTCGCTACCATTTGCTCGTTGGGGCTGCGAGGCCGTGCCTTGGCTCGACGACGGTCGACGTCTCTTGAGCTCTCCATCGGTCAAAGCGATGCAAAGCTCAGTAAGACTCCGACACACACTGTCGGCTTTGCGGCGCGCATGACGCTCAGGTGAACTATATCCTCCATTGACCACGGAGACGGAGCCCGACGGAGCTGTATTGGCACCCAACGTCGTAGAAAGAGCCAAAGCATCGGTGATCGTCACCTCTAGTGCCGCGTACACGTCATTGCTCAGGACCATCTTGGCCTTGGCCAGTGCCGACTGCAGAATCGGATGCACTTGGTTCTGTACGGGATTTTCCTCCATGGAAGGGCTGCTAGCCTTACGGTAGTGTCTAGGGGAGGTAGACAAGGTCGTCATCGTAGTGGCTGCAGTTCGCGGTCGTTCGTTGGCCCCCGAGATGGCTGCTTGAGACGACGGGGGTAATTTCCCGGTTAATTCCAATTTGCGAATGCGAGATTTCAAGTCATCGAGCTGGTCCCAGACCGTAGAGGGTGCCGTTGTGGACAGATTGGATCCGCTTTCCTCTGCTCGCGACTTCTCCACGTCGTCTGGGGCGCGTTCCGTGGCTTCTGAGGCGGACGGTTGCCGACTACTTCTGACGGTAGATAGACCGGAGTTACGATGAAGGCGGGATTCATGTAGAGATGCGCGGCGCTCTCGAGGCTCGAGATCCCTGTTCACGGCTGGGGAGCGCGGAGAGGTTTCAGGGCTGGTGCGACTGAGTCGGCTTCGGGGTGCGCCAATGGTAGATCGCGCCCCTGACAAGCTGGAGTAGCGAAAGCGACTTGAATCATCGAGAGGATGAGCCGAGGCTGGCGCATGAGGGGCAGGGTTGTACGAGAGAGTAGAGGCATTTTGCGAATGCAAGGGGCTGTCAAAATTACTGGGGCGATGATCTGGGGAAGGGGTATGTTCTTCGTCGCGAGCGGTCGGCGACCGTAAACTTCCACTGGAATAACCCAGACGAGACTATACACATGGTCATCAGCACCGAGCCTAGGGTTGTAGGGTTTGGGGTCGCGCCCCGAATCACGGGCGCGACGATAAACACAGGGAACTCACCCGTCGAAAGTCCGACCGTCCCAGCGAGTCTCTGCGGCCCGAATCGGTCCTTGCGATGTTCAGGAAGATATCGTCATTTCTAGGTCTGTTCTCATCTATGCCCTTGGACTCGGACAAACGAGGGGCGGCGTTCAAGCTGCGGCTATGCCCACTCGGCAGCGTTCGTGTTTCGGAGAAGGCCATGCTCGATGGCATGACGCTGTTTACATGAGGGCGGAGCGCGGAAGGGAGATCTTGGTCGGCTGGCTCCGCGGCATTGAGTTCAGAAGAAGGAATCGCGATCGCACCAGGCGAAGGATGACGTTCCAAAGCTGTATTCTGGAGGCTGGGAAAGAAGCTTGGAACAGATCGTCGGGACAGCAATCCCCTGGGGGTCAAAGTGGCAGGAGCGGGCGTTTCACGAGTGGTTGCAGTGGGGCTAGGCTTGGTCCGAATGTGAGAGCTTGCACTGGGCCTATCGTCTACGTCCAGGCTAGCACACCAAGTGATTCTTTTGCAAGAAAATTGAATCGCGGTCATCGGGTCACCGCTGCTCGAGGGAAGCTACTGCTGCATCATGCAGGCAAACAAAGAACCAGCACGAGCCCCGATCCACGAGTCAATCTGAATTTTATTCATTTTGTGCATATTTTTTTTTCGTTCCATATATATTTTTTCCATTTCCATCTTCTAATCTAAATGAATATACAAGTGGCTGGGAAAATACAGTGGATGAGCCCCATCCAGGCCCAACCTAACGTGGACCCTTATTAAACATTTCAAACGCCTAATGATTGCAAGGTGTACTTCGTACTATAGTAGTTCAAAACAATAGTCTACTGAGGCTTTCAGCTAAGCATCCCTGTCAGTTGGAATAGACATGACAGGTCTAGTCCTATGTAGGCAATTCTGTCAATCACATTCAGCTGCTACATAGTCCAAGGCAAACTGGTTTGGTCAAACAAACAAATAATGCGACCCGTGGAACCACAAGTTGCTGAACCATGGGATCGCTAGCCGACTCGATGGATCTGTTCCAATGTGGAAGGTTGTCAGAACTTCCCTTGGGAGTCCTTTTCCACGTGGACTTTGGGGAAATCGTGGTCGATCCAAATAGTTGCGATACTAGCATGGCTTCAATACTGAACTATGTGGGCTCCTTGACCAATCCGCGGATTTACCACAGTTGACATGGTGGCTGCAGGGAGAAAGGGCTCCGATCCGGGCTCCATAGCAGATGGAGATACAGGTTGAAGACTGGTCTTCATTGGCTACCATCGGAAAATCGTCGGGATTCAACATCTTGTTAGCAATGCCAACAGCCGCTGTGCTCCGGGTCCTGACTCATGAGTTCACTCATCGCTGGGTCTTCAGCTGGATGTTGGGTCCACGCTTTAGGGCCCCGAGTGGTTCGGGGCTCTGCTGCCAGTCGGTGGCGCCGTGAACTAGCCCTGAAAGGCTCCATGAAGCGAACAGCCGCCAGCCCTGATCGTGGGGCCTAGAATCAATAGCTGAGACATCACGCGATGGAACGAAACGTTCAACATTGAACAGTGTAGGACCTGAGGTACGTCCTCATGGTACTCTGTGCGTTACTAAGCAGCGTTACAAGTGTTGCGGGGGATGGTTGATAGCCGAGCATCTATATGATACACAGATGATCTGACATTGCACCATCATGGTTGGCTGGTGAACAAGAGCCCCCTGACCATCACAAGCACCAGTGGCAACCGAGATTCCAGGACCCGAAACATGAAAACTTGAACACGAAACACGAGAGCCAACGTCAGCCACCCCGTTCAGGGGACTTTATTTTTAGACCTTCATTCATATGAAACGCAGGAGTTCTTTCAGGAACCGATACAGTCTGAAACGAACCTGATCCTCCAAGTCCTCCAGGGCTCGATTATGCGGTGTATATCTATAGAGCAGACGACAATACATAGACAGTGCTCTCTCTCTCATTTACTCCAGTGCAGATCCCAAGGCTGGGGCTAAACGATAAGACGTACTGTATCTTAGAGTGTGCCCTACTCGCGCTATCGATTAACTGGGGATAGACTCTCTGCTAACCTTGGAACCTTGAAAACCTTGGAACGCACCAAGTTTCAGACTGGCGGTTCCCACGTGGGAAAAGGGCTGATCCTTTTTCTTCTCGAGGCTCCGCTGATATTCCATCCACAACTTTGGGACCTCAGTAGACATTTGATGTGCAGTATTAGCAGTGATGTGCGATTTGGCGGACCTCTGGAATGACCTCATTGGAGATTTCGTCAAGGCTGCAGTCCTTGAGTGGTAGGTATCGACCCTGCGATAGGCTGTTGGGGTGACTATGCCAAGAAGGCACTAGCGTCTGCTAGTGCGGGATTGGTGTGTTTCAGAATTGACAACCAGATCCATCGAGTTCCGGGGTTTCAGAAGGGAGAGACGAGAGAGAGCAGGATTCACGGTGAGCAATATACTCGGGACAGGTCCTCTCACCACGTTCTCCCACGCTGAGAACATGGTCGAGCACCGATCCGAAACTCCCCATGCCCTGTACTGTCGACCTTGGAACAGGAATCCACCGTTCACCCGTGTCCCCGTGCGCACGGGTCGGATAGGACCGAATTTGGAATTTCTCGAATCAAGCCTGCGCCTTGTTCAACACGCACAATTCTCCACTTTTGCCGTGCAAAATCCCAGGACTTGCCACTGCTGGATCGCGCACCTCCCCACTTTATACCCTAATCACGTAGGTAATCATCGGGGAGCAATAGCATCCAATTATCGTCCAAGGCTCCCTCCAACATGTGAGAAATTTCCTTTCCCCATGGCTCAGCCGGGGGCTCTTGAAGTGGACCCCGAGGGTGTTTTTCCCTCATTTTTTGTTTTCGTGTACCTCGCACGCCATCAAATCAACCCGAGATGAGACGGGCCTCATAGTTACGTACGGTATGTTACGTCAAGTGACAGTAGCTTAGTGTGCTTCAGGGCCAGGACCTCTCATTTACGTGCATTTGACGCCGACGCAACGACGCCCCCGGCGGCTAAAATTAGAGCTGGTGACGGTATGATTGGTATACAGCTGTACACTGGATCTGCGGGCGTCCATTGGGCCCACTCCAGGATAATTACAGTGGGCCTGAAATCGGACATCTCTAACATGTATCAGAACATCTAAATAAAAACAGTAAGGGTCCAAACTTCTTCCTCCCTTTACCTCCCTTTCGACTTTCATCCGGGGATCCAACCTTTCTTCTTTGTCGATTTCTTACCTATTATCAGTTCCCCGGAGGAACACACTTGGCCCCCTCCCCCCGAATCCCCCGAATCCCCGCCCCCATCTGCAATTCGGATTCTGTGTCCCTGTTTTCTTGTCATTCCTTCATTACTTCGACTCACTTCACCCACCGCCACTGCCACTCCGTATATACAACCCTACCTCGCTACCCTTCCTATACAAGTGCCCTGATCTTGGTATGTTCTTCGACATTCGTTTCATCTGCAATGTGACTCGTGCCTGCGCATTTGTCTCGCGGTGTGCAGATCATTGATTTCAGCCCTTGCGTCCACCGGGAATAACTTCACTAACACCAAGGACAAAAAGATCCTAATTTGCGCCGGTAGCAAAGACGATCCGGATGCCCCTCTAGTTTCTGTGGCTACGTGCGAATCTAGTGGGTTTCGGGATTCACCTTTAAACACCTCCTTCCCGAACCATGCCGGTACAAACCAGTCCGCCGTCCTTTCCGGACTCGTTCCCTTCATTTATGTCCGTCTACGGTGGCTTGCCTCCCCAATACGAGGAAGAAAGCTCCTGTCACCTCCAAGCCTCCGCTCATTTTTCTTCGAGACGTCTTCGTCCTCATCGCGAGAGTATATCTTCTACTGCCTCTGCCTCCACGGAATCCTCACCTACCACCACCATCTCTCCCTTTGACTCGCCTTCGGGCGGGGATATCTCTCCTAGTTCCTCCCCAGAATCACCTTCGGTCATGTCCTTGTCATACCCGAAATTGGCGCCCCCTGCTCGTGCTCTCGAAGTGGCGCGTCCGACCATGTCAGACAGCTCTAGGTTATTGTCCGCGCCCCAGGTGCGCCCGGACTCGCCCAATCGTCGAGCCCGTAATTTGAAGAACTTGTCGTTGCGAATGCCACCCCCGACACAGTCACGACCCCCAATTGCTACCGCATCTTTGGTGGAGACCTCGTCAAAACATCTTTCTGCCCCACCATCTCCGATCCAGTTCCCCCCCCAAGAGCGCCCGGCGGCGTCCCGCGAACCTCACCATCCAAACACCCACTTTCAACAAATCCTTTACTGGACCTGACATTGTACCCCCCACTCCTTCCCTTGGGCAGCATTCATTACGACATGCAGAGTCATCGCCGTCACTGGCATCAATCAGCTCGCCGTCGTTTGCCCCGCAAGGTGGCATGCAGCTTCCTCGGCCCATGTCGCATCATAGCACCCGTCGTTTTTCCGGCACATCCCTCGATACTGTTCCTTCCCTGGCTTCTATTCCCGATAAAGAAACTACATCTCACCGCGTTCTCCCTGGCCTGGAAGAAGAGGACGACCACATCGACTCTCGCGAGTCCACCCGGAAGAAGGACCGTGGATACCCGGACGGTCCCATTCGGATCCACGACACTGGCGTTTACCTGTACCTGGAACCGAACGCAGAGGAAGCGGCGCGATTCGATGTGGTGATCAATGTCGCGAAAGAAGTTCGCAACCCATTCAACAAGGAACAAGGGGAGCGAAATGACACTGTGATGAGCACATGGCGGAACGCGTCCATGGCATCCAAGCGATTTTCCATGGAGGATCCTCAAACCGCCATGTCAGAGATCTCTTTTAAGTCTGCGTTTGAATTCCAGCCCGACTCGGAATCTGCGACGCCCACTACCTCCACCCCGAAATCCGCCCCGCCAGAGTATATTCACGTCGGTTGGGACCATAACTCCGAGATCTTGGACGACCTCCTTCCTCTGTGTGAGCTGATTGATGAGCGGATCGCCCAGGGCAAGAAAGTGCTAGTTCATTGCCAATTGGGAGCTAGTCGGTCAGCGTCTTTGGTCATTGCGTATGGTCTGTATAAGAACCGTCATATGGACTTCAACTCCATGTACGAAGCGGTCAAGGGACGCAGCCAATGGGTGGGCCCCAACATGAGCCTCATCTACCAGCTTACTGATTTCCGGGGCCTTTTGACACGCGGATCGCCGTCGCGCCCTGCTCCTCATGAGTGGTGGTCGAAGAGCGGCAACCGAAGGAGCTCGGAGCCTCAACTCACACAAGAGGAGCGAGCAACGCTGGCAGAAACCCCTCAGCCTCCTTTCCACGGCCTGTCCCAAGCGCCCTCAGTGGATTGCTTAGCCATTCCACCCCCGCGCCTGTCTCGTCCCAAGACCAGTGATAACGGGAATCGCTCGCCGAAGCGCAGCTTATCCCCTCGTCCATTGCCATTCCGGCAAAAGTTCCAGTCTGTGGAGCCTGCATTTGGGAGACCTAGAGGTATCCCACGTAACGTGAACAGCTGTGATCCCCTCGTCCAAACTCATGTGTTCGTGCGCGATGCCCCAAATCATGGCGGTTTATTCTCGCCAAGCGCTGGTCTGTTCTCACCGAGAACCTCGGGCTTCCTAGCTCCACCTGCTCCTTTGCCCCCTCGAGGCATTGATTCCGTGACCGATGCCCCCAGCGCTGCGCAATATGCTAAGGACATAGCCGATCCCAGATCTCCTCCCCCTCCTGCAGGAGGTGAGCGCATGATCATGAGGAACATCGACGAGTTCCTGTAATTTTATTGCCCTATTTCTAAAAAAAAAGGGCCTGCAACGATTCCACGACCCGACATATGCATGTCTACGATCCCTAATTTGCGGATCATTCATTTCACCGGCCCTATATTTCGGCTACCTTTTTTTTTTTTTTTCTCATCCTTCTTTTTCCAGTCACATACCCTCTAGACTGGGTTGATGATCCCATGACCAAAGCAGGCTTTGCTGTCACTCATCGCCTTTCGCATCTTCCTCTGCCCCTGAGTGAACCATCACTCAGCCTCTATCGCTATTTTTCCTCTTTTCTCTTTCCACCTTTCATATCCGTCTTGGATGAAAATTCGTCAACATTTGGATACTACAGGTTTTATGATCTTGAGTGACCCATAACTGTAATACTATTGCGGAGGATGAGGCCGTTTACATTGGTTGGCCACCAAAACACCTTTCGCTACCTTTCATTTTGTCACTTGTCAAGGACAAGCCTTCGTTTCTCATTTCTTTGAACTCTTTCCATTGTGGTCCGTCTATCCGTGACCAAGATGGTATGCTGGTGGGCGGATTAACGACAAATACCCCCTGTGCGCAATCTTAATAGAAATGGACAGCTTCGAGCTAAATCTGCAATGTGAACATAACGTAGAAGTACTTTGAATCACGTAAATTGGACATGCATTTGAGTTGGTAGAGTAGAGCTGGCGAGTACTGTGAGAGATGGCGGGGTGATAGTCGATAAGAACATCTCCGCATCACAAATTTTCTCGCGCTACAACACTCTCAATCCCACACAAAATGGCCGAAGATCACCCGACCTATCTTTCACCTAGTGAGCTAGGCTCAAAGGACTAGTAAGTGAATTGACCCCAAGTAAGGTCGGCGATCCAGTCCGATCAACGAAATCAACTCCCCCCGCGCATCTCTACCCCTCCATACCAAATAAACCAACAGCCTAACTCCATTCCTTCTACCAACATTCCAACCAATTACTTGACTAACGAACCTAGTTGGGAAACATACTACGCCCGGACCCTGGCCCACATCTCAAACACCGAAGATGCCGAAAATTCAGACGCAGACTCAGACGTAAACGACGAAGATGACCCAGGCACATCCTGGTTCTCAGAACATAATGCACCCGAAAAGGTCCTCCGCTTCCTGACGCGTCGCTCGTTCCCACTCGCACCGAAGAATACCCGCAGCGCAGAAAAACAGCCTACCATCCTAGATCTAGGTACTGGAAACGGGAGCATGCTCGCGTTGCTACGTAAACGGGGTGGGTTTGCGGGTAAGATGGTTGGTGTGGATTATTCGCCGCTTAGTGTTGAGTTAGCGAGGGAGTTGCAGAGGTCTAGGGGGCATTCTGCCTATCGGACTGATTCTGAGGATGAGGAGGACTCCGAGGAGGAGGGAGAGGGAGAGGGAGAGGGAGAGGCTGTGCAGGTGGAAGCGTCGCCGATCCAATTCGAGGAATGGGATGTGTTGGGCTCGAAGGATATTCTCTCGCCTGAAGGATTACCTACCCCGTCTCCATCTGGGGAGATGTTATCCTGGTTCCCGTATGCAAGTGGTGGCTTTGATATAGTTCTCGACAAGGGTACTTTCGATGCGATTTCTTTAGCGGATGATGCGAAGGAAACGAGAGTTTGTGAGCGGTATCCTGATATTGCGAGACGGCTTTTGAGGCGGGGTGGGTTTTTGGTTGTTACTTCTTGTAATTGGACGGAGGAGGAGTTGGTTAGTTGGTTTACTAAAGGTGATGGGGATCGGTTGGTAGTTTGGGGGCGTGTGGAGTATCCTAGGTTTCGATTTGGAGGGCAGGAAGGGCAGGGGGTTTGTACGGTTTGTTTTCAACGGGTTGGATGATTTAATGGGATTTGGATTTAGAGTGTCTTGCATTGTTTGCGTATAGGAATTGATGCCTTTAATTCAGCTTGAGTTCAGGTGGATGCCCGTAGGTCATGGGTAGCTCTGGAGACTGATTCCTGCTTATCGTGATTGTGACTGTGATGGCAGCTTCATTAGTCTCATGTACCTAACCTAGCTAGGTATCTGCAAGAGCTACTCCTCTTTATGCTAGTGGCACCGTCAACTGAGTCTCCGGTCCGGTCCGCCCTATCTAATCATTAAGACAAAAGTCCTCTTAAAAGCAGTATGTGCTCCCGTTAGAACTTCGATTGATGAGGAAGGAGCAAGGGGTGGACCCTCGCAATGCATTGAAGCTGAATTTAAAGTGAGAGACAAGTCACACGCCAAACTCACCACGTTCGGGCCCTCGTGTCCTAATACCTAAATACAGTCGGTTGTAAACTCCAATTCCATGGCTAGAATCGGAAGGTGGGGAATTGAGGACAATTGTGTATTCGGTTCTCGGTCTTGGACCTCGTCCTAGTGCGGGGGTTGGTATTGTGGCGGGGGAGTGTCCGCCATTGGAAAGATTATATTCATTAGTAATATTGCTAGATAATGACATGATTGCTTTTTGCTTCTTTTTTTTTTTCTTTTTTTCTTTTTTGCAATGGCGATTTGTTATCTCGTCATTCTTGATTAGGTCAGATACCTGCCAGGTGAGATTGGACACTGGGGATGTCATAGAATTATTCTTATCGTAAAAGTGGGTTTCATTGTGGGATGTCATAGTGGAGATCAGGGCATTGAATATTGAATTGAACTCCGAAGGAATTGGATTTAGGGGAATTTCAGATCGCGGCATGCGAGACATTTGGATTGCTGTGCTAGTTCAGCTTCTAAATTTACATGTTTCACGATTGGTTTTTTATTTTATTTTTATTTAATTTTTTTTTGTTTCTTTTCTTTTTCCTTTGTTCTGCCGTTGTTTGTCATTCTTAGCTCGTTCTATGCGCCTTTTCTTTGAAGATCAGCCTCAGCCGCAGGAACCCTTTGCGGAATGCCGCAAATCTCGGGAATGTGCCAGAATGTCTTGTTCCCATGGAAAGGGTTGGGGCCAAAATATGATTACTTACTGCTAAAAGTGGTAGTCCCAGCTTTGACCATGCCCGCTCGGAGTAATGATCCCCTCCGCGCTAGTGCGGGTTGAGGCGACCTGAGAGATCTGATCGTCCGTGGCTTGTAATGGACGAAAATAGGTCCGAGAAATTCCATAATTTGGGGCTTTAGTACTCATTGCAGATTACCTATTTAGCCCCAATCCTCAGCATGGCCTAGATACAGTAGTAATATCCTGGATAGGATATACCGTAATGAGTAAACGATCAGGTGCTAAGTCACGGGATCAGCTGACTTCTCCTATCAGGTGCCCCGTGTCCACATCCAACTACATTGCCCGGTTCTCATCGTCGGGTGACATCATTAGACCCACTCCACTCAGGTCTTAGACCGGTCGATATCGCTGCAGGTGATCGTGTCCGTTCCATCATTGGTGTCTTTTCGTATAACAGGTAACTTATTACACTCGCAGATTGGCCAGACACTAGCAACTTAGTGAGAGGTACCCGAGCGCAATGCGTTTCTGTTTTGTCAGGAAACAGTTTCCCTTGTTGTTCCCCCTTGTGATCCTAGCGGGTGATCGTCAGGCAACAGATGTTCTTCATCTTCGATGCCATTAAACGGATGAATGTCAGGAAACAAGATCTCGAATTGTCCGACTGGGAATTGGGACCTCAAATCCAGTTCTGGTCTTTATGTTCTGCCTACAGCAATCCATGGGTGCCTGGGAGTCCTAGAACCGGGAAGACCCTGAACTTTGCCCTGTATGGAACACCAAGGAGACTGCGATGTATCCTGCCTGTAGAATCCCTACAAAGCCTTCTAGACTCCTAGGTGTCTGTATGGTGGAAACTGGGGAAATAGAATTCTAGAATAAGGACCGAATTGATGTCATTTGGGGTGCGGTTCCCAGTATCAGTGACTCAGGTCCAGCTGTGATCCGGCATCGCAGAAGCGAAGTGGAGCCATGGTTATCGCATCATGGGCCTTGCGACGCACAGAGAAGATTGAACAGAATCACCGGCAATAGAACCCAGGTAGTATAGAGGACTCAAATATGAAAAGAAGAAATACCAAAACCATCTAGAACCCCAATACAACAAAAACCACGGTGTTACCGAAGATCGCCCCCCGCATGCTCAAAGGGAAAAGCCCCCGCAAAGCGCAATGAGCGATTTTGGTGGGCCACACCATACCGGATGGCTTGTACCAGTTCTCCTTCCTTTCTCCTCTTTTTTTTTTTTTTACCCCTACAACTTTTTTTTTGTTCACACCTTGACCTTTCTCTGTCTCCCTCCTCTCTTTCGGAATTCTTATCTTCCAAGGCTCTATACTTCCACTCACCTTTACGTGTTCTATATCGCTCGGCACCACCCAGATTGACTCACGCCCGAAACCCACTCCGCGTCATTGTACCAATTCCCACTCGGAATTGAGCCCAATTCACGACTCTAAGGGCTTTCAAAAAATCCGTCGATTGCCAGAAAGTCCTTCATCATGGCCTCGTTCAAGGTATGACCTTTATCTCACGAGGAGGGTCTGGGAATCTTCCTAGGCCAAGGTGTTCCCATACTGATGATGTGGCCCCGGTCCGCACAGGAATTGTCCCTCTCGCGTCCGCTCCCTAACCCAACTCAACGACAACACTCCCACTCAATCTCTCTCGGTGCTGTCAATGCCAACCACCGTGTGACGCGTCGAAAGAGTGTCACCACCGCGGCTGCCAATGCCGCCGCCGCCATTGCGGCCTCCATGAAGGAGGGCGAGTCCGCGCTTCTCCCCATGGCCGCGCACCGTCGCAGCCTTGGGGGCCGCAAGGGCATGGAGTCCACTTCGGTCGGGGGCACATCGGGATTTAGTTCATACCTCTCGCGAAGCGTGAACAGTCCTAGCCAGGAGCCTCCGGTCGCTCGCAAAGCCTCCCCTAGCAACTCCGATGACGGCAAAGTAAAGGGCCGGAACCGCCGAGCCAGCGAAGGCGCTCAATCCAAGACTGAGGGGAAGCGGGTTCCGGCCGAGCTCCGCTGCGATCGCTGCGGGAAAGGGTATAAGCATGGCAGCTGCTTGTCTAAGCATATGTGTGTATCCCCCATCCCGCCCGGCCGTTTTTTTTTTGCTGGAACGGGAGTGTGCGCCATGTAGGCTTTGTGCAGGCCCTCGTGGTTCACCTCCCGTTCGGCATTTCCCTTTTCTCAATTTTTCCAGTGACAGTCGGTTGACGTTTTGTGGTATAGGTGGGAGCATGACCCAGCATGGGCGGTTACCTCGAAACTACTTATCTCCAAGCATCAGCAGGTTCAACTGTTGGAGGCTGCCACGGTGCTCGTCACCATGAACCAGGACGGCCCCGAGCAATGCCACGAGCACTGCCCCGAAGCGGATTCCGAAGTTTCCTCCGGATCGCCCGATGCCTCCTCGGATGTGCACGATGGTCTCAGCTCCGCTGAGACCACCCCTCCCCCGATTGACGAGGAAGAGGAAGACGACTTTGAGATGTCCGGTATGCCGGCCAACTGGACTAAGCGCCCCAGCATTAGCAACGCTTCGGCTTTCTCCCGCTCCTACCAGTCGATCCCCTCGAGTTCGTACAACGAGAGTGCTCCACTCCACTCCCCTACCTTCTCTCATTTCCGCCAGTCCAGCATCGATACCCGCCCATCCACCGCTGACACCCGACTGCACGATGATGACGAGGCCGATCTTGCAGCAGCGATTGGGCTTTGCAACTTCGGAACTCCCCGAACAGGGCCTGTTTCCATGACACCGGATGTGCCCCCTGTTCCTCCGCTGCCGGCTCGTTACCTGGACTCGAGTAGCCACCCGAACAACCAGAGCCCGCGCCTGTCGCAGCTGGGTCCTATGAACGAGGCTTACCGACGAGAATCCAACGCGGACCTCTTCCTGTCAGTTTCCGCCGCTTCGTTCAACCCGTCACTGTCATACAAGGTGTCGGATGAGCGTGGGCCCCGAAACGGACCCAAGGGAGCCGAACCCCGTCGTCATAGCCGCAACGCAGATGTCGATTTTGGCAGCCGTGCTGCGCCTGCGGACGATGATGACGATGGTGTCTTTGGACGCATGGAGGAATAATTGGCTTTATTCTTACATTTCCTTCACGCACCCATCTCGAGTCGCAATGCTCATGCCGAGCTATCCACGACTCTTTTCACGACGCAATGTACGCGCTTGAGCGTTTTTATTTGGGAAACCCTTCTTATTTACACGTTTAACGAGCATGCTGCATAATGAAGGTCTGCACTCTCCCTCCGTTCGACATGAACCGAAGGGACGTACGGTCCTCCTCGCAAAGCGTGTTTCAAAGATTTCGGGACCTTGTCGCCCATGTATCATGTCTCCTTGGCCCGCTTGTTCTTCACTTTCTTTTTTTTCTCCGCTCGAGTCTCTTTTCCTTTTTGTTCTGGAAACATCATAAATGGCCTTACCTAATTGGCCGGCGCATATTCATCATATCCCATACCTCCCCTTTCGTCTGTTTCTTCTCCCGCTTGCTCGAACATATACCTTGAATCGTTCTGAAACCCTATCTCCCCAGTGTGATCCTCGTCCACATTCCCTCTTCTTCGTTTTCCTAGCCTCTACGCTCTCTCATGCTCTCCCATGTGTAATCAATGACCCTTGGACAGGACACACAATGAATATATACCATGAAACTACTATACATTTGCAACAGTAATTCAAGTTTCGGCACAGATAGATTGTATTATTTTACTTATACCGCGATATTATTGCAGGCATAGGTATCGCTATCAAAGTCCACAGCCAACGCTTCGTGAGTACCCAGTACCGTGGATGCTCGGACGGACAGGAACTGTCTCCGAGAGAGGTAAAATACACCTGTTTCGTGCTCGTCACCGAGGATTGACCTCTGAATTACCAATCAAGAGATTCATGGCGACTCCTCTCATAGTTGCATACCACAGGTATCAAAATGTCGTACACAAAGATCGAAAATCAGTTCCATGCACGTCCACACATGTTTAATAAAATTCCCGCCCCATCACTACTTCTCCATTCATATAGTGGGGCGGGCTCGTAGGAATAGACCTAAAGCAGAATGTAGCGACATGCCGAATAGCCTTTGTACCAGGTGGTGGCTCAGGTACTCAGTTGTGTCAAAGAAGTCCAGACTAGATCCTAAGTCGATTTTTACCATTTACTGAAAAAGTCCAAATTACTCAGTAGTGAAGAAACTTCCATGCTGCTAATCTGTAGGATGTATGTAAAGCAGATGATATCGATAGCTTTTAGTGAAAAACACCGTGACAACAACAATTCAATGCAAGCCCAACTCCGTATGATCGTGTCGTAGCGGTCAGCATAACATGGCAACCGAGAACCCAATAACAAAAAATTTAAAACGAAAACCAAAAGAGCCCAGAAATCTCTTTAATCCAACTGCATCTCCTCCTCGGCACCACCATCCACCAAAAGACGGGTCTTCTTCTGTTTCCGAGCAGCAATGAGATCCTCTCCGTGAACCCGGTTGGCAGTCTTGCTGCTCTCCGCAACCATGGGCACACCCTCCTCGCGATCCCGCAGCTCCTTCCGAATAAGGTGCTCGCCCGTAGCGACGACCTTCCGGTCCGCCTCGCGCTGGCGATCGCGGGCAACCTTGCCGGCCAGACGACGCTTGGTGAACACACGCTCGCGACGCTGTCTGATCTCCTCCACGCGCTGCATGGCCTGGACGGTGGCGGCAACGAGGTTGCGGTCGTACTTGACGGGGACGTTGCGCTTCTTGGCGAACTGGGAGAGGACCAGAGAAGAGTCGACGATCATCTCCTTTCCGCGGGCGGCGCGGTGGCTCTTTGTCCACTTCAGCTTGCGGGGCTGACGCTTCATCTTGAAGTTCTTGTGGCACTTTGACCGACAGAAACGAAATTGTCGGGCGTCATTGCGGACGAATGTGATGCCCTTTCCTGGGAAGGCGGGGCGAGAGCAGAAATGGCAGGTCTCCACACTGTAGTAAAATGGATTAGATGGGGGCCATAGTGAACTTTGTGAGAGATTTTGAGAGAAAATACTTACCGCATGGTTGTGGTGGGTGGGGGGTGTTGATTGTTCGAGTTTGATAACGCAGAACTTTTTTTTCTTGAAGCTTGAGGCGTGGAGGTGCGCGCTAAACCCAATCGGGTGTTGCGCGCTGACTTTTAATCCCGCGATCTTCTCCGACCTTCAACCACCAATTGAAACTTGGCCACCCGCGAAGAACACACTACAAAATGGCTTCCGTTCTTACTGTTGGACTTGGTGTGGGCGTTGCTGCCTTCCTGGTAAGATCTTGATGAACTTTCGAATGGATGGCAGGGTGATAGGATGGATTGTTGACTGTTCTTTGTCTGCAGGGCCGTGCCGGTCTGGTCGCCTACCGCCGCTCCCAGGGTGGTTTGAATGCCGCTGGAAAGGCATTCTACAAGGGGTTCGTTGAATTCTTCCTGGTTTACCATCTGCCATGACTTGCTAATCACCCGGTACAGAGGATTTGAGCCCCGTATGAACAAGCGCGAAGCCTCCCTGATCCTCGAACTTCCGTACGTTTCTCAACCCGATGTATGATACCCGATATCGAACACAGACTAATTTGCGTCAAAATGTAGTGAGCGAACTTTGAACAAGGACAAGGTCCGCAAGAAGCACCGTCAGCTCATGCTGCTGAACCACCCCGATCGTGGCGGCAGTCCCTACTTGGCCACTAAGATCAACGAGGCCAAGGAGTTCCTCGATAAACACACCTAAATGCAACCAGCTCAGTGACTAGTTGTGTTTGATCTCGGAATATCAGATTGGCCGTGTCAGACTGTGTCCGAGACTGTATATTGGGGTGCATAGCGTGGAGTTTTTGGTTCGTCTTTATCAGATCGGGGTCCCTGGGCCTTTTGATCTGCTTGTATTTTATGCACTATTGTGATATACTCTCACGAGATCGCCACTCTTCCTATTCAATGTACTATTACTATTGATTCTGTTATAATGCTTTATAGGATATGCCTGCTTAGGTGAGTAGGTAATCGTACTGTCGAACAAGGTCCTAATACTTGGTCAAAGACCTAAATGCTGTCCAACAAAATACCGCAGACTCAAGTATTAGCCGAGTACGACCTAACTCCCAACCGACCGCCGATCTCTACTCAACTTTGGAACACGCGGTGAAAAAAGAACAGTGCAGACAAAGTTTAAACTCGGAAGTTGTATCACCCCACTAGTTGAAGTCGGTTTATACACTGATCTATCTCCCGACACTAAGGAAATTAGAGTAGACAGGTCCTTGCACTCGGCCAATTCAATTCCATGTTATCCGAGCACGATCAGATGGCCAAGTGGCGAAGGAGAAGGAAAGACTATACCCCGTACCCGGAGCCGGACGAAACAGACGGACATTTCAGCCTACCGCACAGCCCACATGCTCGGGAAACGGACTTAACGGATTCCGTTCTCCTACTCTGTACTCTTTCACAAAGAACATTCACTTTCTGCCTAGCGTGGTAAGCTTGATGCTCTAGATCAGTTAGTGACCCTCTCGTGTGGTTGACTCAGCGGGATCTGACTAAAATAAGCCACTCAAACGGCAGAGTCCCTCGAAGCACTTTTGCGCCTATTTGCGCCAACCGTTCCAAGCTTACCCTGAATGCGTCACCAACTACAACTTCTTCCCCCGATATTCATCTTCAGGGGGAGCTCCGGTTAAAACACTTTTCCGAGACGTATGAGACGTTGAGAACCCCGCAGCTTCGACTTATTTGACACCGCCCTCTCCTGGACTCCACCCCGCGGAGTTCCCGAACCTAAGGAAAAATGGATGGCATGGGGGATGGCGACGGCATGGGCTTTGACATGCAACCCATGATGATGAACCACCAATCCCAGCTCTTTGGAGGTTATCCTCACGATGGCTCGCAGATGTCCGTGCCCGGAGGGTCCATGTACCCCGACGATTCGGTATTAGGCGCGGGGGACGATGGCAACGATGCGAATGATGCAAAGAGGCGACGCATTGCTAGGGTATGTAGCCCCGAGTCTATTACATGGTCTACAGAAGGCTAATCCTGACTCCCAAGGCATGCGATATGTGTCGGAAGAAAAAGATCAAGTGTGACGGGAAGATGCCTAAGTGTTCGCACTGCATCAACTACAAGACCGACTGTATTTTTACACAAGTGGAAAAGAAACGGAATCCACCAAAAGGGTAAGTTGGCACGCAACAAACTAGATTTCTTCCCCGATGTTTGAGAACTGACGTCGTGTGCAGAGCCAAATACATTGAAGGCTTAGAGAATCGTTTGGGCCGCATGGAGTCGCTGCTACGACTGTCCGGGCTTTTGTCCGAAGGCGATAATGGAAAGACGGACTTGGGTACATTGGAGAAACGACTGGCTGATCGAACGATGGCCTTGGATGCGGCGCGAAATGCAAACCAGTTTACTGCACCGAGTGCAACCCAGCAGGCTATGACCTCTCACAATACTACCCCCCGCATGGATTCACAATCTAGTCCACGGACCACTGCCGCCACATCCCCCGAATCACAAAAGTCCGAGACAGAAGTGGAAGCTTTGTCGGATATGATGTGTTCATTGGTCACCAACAATTGTGGAGAGACTAGATATATTGGTATGTGGGAACTTGTGGGATGACAAGATGGGGAACATCCACTAACATGGTGTATCCTAGGTTCTTCATCTGGATTTTCAATCTTTTCACCAAAGGGTATTCAATGGGTCAACGAGAAGACAGGAGATACCTCGTTCCAAGAAATGATATCATCGGCCTATGTCGACGATAACAAGTGGATGTACTGGAAGCCCGAGATCTTCAGCGACATCTTTGCTCGCAGGGTCTTTAAGCCTCTGCCTCCAAAGGAGGAAGCTCTTTCTTTATTCAAAGACTTCTTTGAGAACTTCAATTGCATGTTCCCTCTTTTCCATGAGGCGACATTTATGCATTTGGTGGAACGACAATACTCTCGCGACCCGTACGAAGGCTCTGGGTGGTGGGCTAGTATTAACGTTGTGCTGGCTATCTCTCATCGACTCCGAGTGATGAGCAATTTGGTACCACATGAAGAAGACAAGAAGGCCTGGCTGTATCTGAAGAATGCTATGGGTGTTTTGACCGAGTTGACGATGCGTAATACTGATCTCCTGAGTGTCCAAGCACTCCTGGGTATGTCATTGTTCCTGCAAGGTACACCCAACCCGCAGCCTGCCTTCTTCCTGGTTGCAGCTGCTATTCGTCTCTCCCACAGTATTGGCTTGCATAAGCGTGGCTCGGGCTTTGGGCTGAACCCAGTGGAGATGGAGCAGCGGAAGAGAGTCTTCTGGATTGCCTACACTCTTGACAAAGATCTTTGTCTGCGATCTGGCAGACCACCAGTCCAGGATGACGATGATATGAACGTTGAACTTCCAAGTGAGGACCCGCCTGACAATGTTGGTAATGTCCCACTTGCCGATGGAATTGGCAAGTTCAACCTCTTTAGATCGTTGTGTGAATTTGCCACGATCGAGAGCAAGGTCTACAAGAAATTATACTCAGCCAAGGCATCTCGGCAGTCTGACGGGGAATTGCTTAACACTATCGGTGAACTTGATAAAGAACTCGAAGACTGGAAAGACAGTATCCCCACCGATTTCCGCCCAGAACATGAGATCCAAGCCACCCACGGTCCTCTCATCCTCCACGTTGTGGTCCTCCAATTCTCATACTACAACTGTTTGACCACTATTCATCGGATGTCCGTGCACCACGGTTACTGGACTAGTCGATTATCCAATTACGCCATTCAAGGTCTAAATGCCCGCCCATTGAACCCCAGAGTCTTCCTCTCTGCAGTTCTTTGCGTGACTGCGGCTAGGGCATCGATCAATTTGATCAAGTATATTCCCCAGGGTGATTTTGCTTGTGTGTGGTTGATTCTATACTACCCAGTGTCAGCTCTTGTCACCCTCTTCGCCAATATTCTTCAAAACCCCAGCGATGCTCGTGCTCGATCGGACGTGAAGTTGATGAACGTAGTCGTCAATTTCCTGTCCACCTTGGTTTCTGACGAGTCCAATGGTAGTATCAAGCGCATGCTTTCTCTCTGTGGCGAATTCGAAAGAATTGCCAAGGTGGTTCTTGACAAGGCCGAGAAAGAGTCCCATGCACGCAAAAAGCGGAAGAATGCACCTGAGGATTCAGCTCCCCGAGAAGAAAATGCAGGCCAACCCACTACCTCCCCGTCCGTCAAACCTCAGCCTCCTCCCTCATCAACTCCATTCTCACCAGCCATGTTTACCAATGATCCCACCGCTCCTACCTCCTCACCTAATACAGCCAAGGGCTATGGTCCAGATCCTTCCTTGCCGCCGAACACCGGTATCCCTAACAACCCAATTCCCGGTTACGGCCAAGGCTTCTCAGATATGCTGAGTCCAGACCAACTGGACAATGTCCAATTCGGTGACCAAAATCCCTTCGGGCAAACAAGTTCGAATATGGCGGCTCCTTTCCAGCAACCATTCGTCCCACAAGACTTATGGCAGATGCCGATGACGATCGAATGGGACTGGGCAGACATGTCCTCCAACTTCCCTATCTTCGATGCGGGGGAGGGTAATGTCCAACCGCCTCCGCAGTAATCATGAACATGGCTTGACTACTTGTATCAAGCGGAAAACATATGGGTTTACACAAGGCTTTTGCAAAACGGTGGCGTTCACCCCAGCGGGATCATCTAATGTTTTATTTTATTCTCTTCTCTTCATTTTTATGAGCTTCCGATGCTGGTTAGGCGTTTTAACCCCTCCACTACTCATTTATTCTTTACCCATCTCCCCTTTCATGTACATTGAAGGACACTTCTTTATTATTTCTGCGCGCAGGAAAGGGTTCTCCAGAATGTGCTCACAGATAGTCCCCAATCAAGCCAGCTTCGAATAGGAGTTTAAATAAATATGCATAATTGTACATGTCGTCTCTCATCTTTCATTGTTTTACGTTAAGGTTGACATAGGCTATGGTCTCCGGGCGTTCGAACACCATCTCGTCCAAGCTTGGTTTATCACTGGGAACCTCAGTGTTTTGGTAGTACTTTCATTCATAGCTGAATGACAGCTATCACAGGAATTTGACCTCATCAATATCGTCATTCCTCTCTACCTTCGAATCCTGATAGAGTGGATCAAATCCAATAGTCGGGGATAAGAGGAATCTGGTCGAATACTGTAGTCTAGTGTGGGTACCGCCCCGGCCAAATGACTCAGCACCGGAACGGCAGAAAAACCGATGCCGAAAGCCGCAGCTCGTCATGAGCTTCCCACCGCAACCCTCAATCGCTCAAGGCATTGCATGCCGTTGTCCACTCCACCGGACCTCGATTGATCACCCTTTCCCCCCGCCCTCATAGCCCTCGGGGCTCCCCCTTTCCTCGACCATGGCCACCTTCCTCCGAAGGCCCGGCAACCTTGCTCGATTCTCGAGGAGAGCCACAGAATCCATTAGTCGCACACCGATTTCTCCTCGGGTACCTTCCTCGCGGCTTTCCTCCTTTATTACATCTCACCGCGTTCGAACATTTGCCACTAGCGCCCCCGGAGGCCCTGACGACCAGTCCCGGAATACCCAGCCAAGTGGCAGCGGGCCCGAGAACAATCGCAAAGATGAAGAGCCGAAGAAGCCGGAGTCGGTCCTGAATGAAGAGGATCAGAAGAATCTAGATGCTTTCGTGAAGCATGTGGAGGGGCGTTTGCCTGAATCGCAGCATGCCGCTCTCCATGAGATGCGGAAAATATTGATGCGAGATGGATTACCGGCCGATGTGAAAACCTTCATTGACAGACACCGCGAGGCTTCATTGATGGATTACCTTCGGATGATTCGGTTTTTGCTGAAGTACACCAATGAGCAAGCCAAACAGGAAGCCGATAAGCAAGCCAATGAGCATATTGCTCGTATGACGAACAAAACTCCCGAGGAAGTCAAGAAGGAATTCGAGGAGATGAAAAAGCAGTCCGGCTCGGAGACAGAGAAGGGCAAGGAAGAACCTAATCAGGAAAAGAAGGAGGAGAAGGGACAGCAACAGAAGAAGAAACCAGGGCAACCTCCCGTTGGAAAGGTGTTTGAGTTCCGATTCGATCCCGCCGCCTTCGCCGTTACCGCACTCGTCACATACTACATCTACCGCAGCTTCTTCCCCGGGGAGAGCAGTGGTCGTGAAATCACCTGGCAGGAATTCCGATCCAACTTCCTTGACAAGGGCATTGTTGAGAAGTTGACCGTGCTCAACCACAGTAGAGTCCGTGTTGACCCTAACCGTGATGCCTTGGCTGCCTCATACCCCGATTCGAATGGAAATCCCGGCCCTGTATACTTCAGCATTGGCTCTGTGGACAGCTTCGAGATGAAGCTGGAGCAGGCTCAGTACGAACTCGGTATTCCGGCTCACGAACGCATCCCCGTTGCTTATGTCGATGAGGTCTCTTGGGGCAGTGCTCTTATGACCTTCGCTCCTACATTGCTCTTGTTCGCTGGTATTTACTGGTTCTCTCGCCGCGCTGGCGGTGGTGCTGGTGGCCAGAGCGGAATCTTTGGTATTGGTAAGAGTCGTGCAAAGAAGTTTAACCAGGAGACCGACATCAAGATCAAGTTCGCCGACGTTGCCGGTATGGACGAGGCTAAGGTTGAGATTATGGAATTTGTCAGCTTCCTCCAGCAGCCTGAGCGGTTCCAGAGACTTGGTGCTAAGATTCCTCGCGGTGCTATCCTCTCTGGTCCCCCTGGTACTGGTAAGACCCTGCTTGCTAAGGCCACTGCTGGTGAATCCGGCGTGCCTTTCTTCAGTGTCAGTGGTTCTGAGTTCGTCGAAATGTTTGTCGGTGTCGGTCCCTCTCGTGTCCGTGACCTGTTCGCCAACGCCCGGAAGAACACTCCTTGCATTATCTTCATTGATGAAATTGATGCTATTGGAAAGTCCCGAGCTAAGCAGAACTTTGGTGGTGGCAACGATGAGCGTGAGAGCACTCTGAATCAGATTCTTACCGAGATGGACGGTTTCAATACTTCCGAGCAGGTCGTCGTTCTGGCCGGTACCAACCGACCTGATGTTCTTGACAAGGCCCTCATGCGTCCTGGCCGATTCGATCGTCACATCAACATTGACCGTCCTACAATGGACGGCCGCAAGCAGATCTTCCGTGTTCACTTGAAGAAGATTGTTACCGACGAGAACATGGAGTACCTGGAAGGCCGACTCGCTGCTCTGACCCCTGGCTTTGCCGGTGCTGATATTGCGAACTGCGTTAACGAGGCAGCCCTCGTTGGTAAGTGAAACATTCGCCCTTTTCTTGTTATTAACTGTGAATGCATGCTAACATAATTTATAGCTGCTCGTGAGAATGCCGACAAGGTTGTTATGAGGCACTTCGAACAGGCTATCGAGCGTGTCGTTGGCGGTCTCGAGAAGAAGTCTCTTGTGCTGTCTCCCCAGGAGAAGCGCACTGTCGCCTACCACGAGGCTGGCCACGCCATCTGTGGCTGGTACTTCCAGTGGGCCGATCCCCTGCTCAAGGTGTCCATCATCCCCCGTGGACAAGGCGCTCTCGGTTACGCTCAGTACCTTCCCGCTAATGGAGATACCTACCTGATGAACACCAACCAACTCATGGACCGCATGGCCATGACCCTCGGTGGTCGTGTCAGCGAGGAGCTTCACTTTGACACAGTCACCAGCGGTGCTAGCGACGACTTCAACAAGGTCACCCGCATGGCCACCGCAATGGTGACCAAGTTTGGTATGTCAAAGAAAATCGGTTTTGTCCACTACGAAGAAGACCAAGGACAACAGTTCCAGAAGCCCTTCTCCGAAGATACAGCCCGCAACATCGATACCGAAGTCCGCCGTATCATCGACGAGGCTTACAAGCAGTGCCACGATCTTTTGACTGAGAAGAAGCACGAAGTTGGTATCGTCGCTGAAGAACTTCTGTCTAAGGAGGTCCTCGGTCGTGATGATATGATCCGCCTTCTTGGACCCCGTCCTTACCCGGAGTCTAGTGAATTCGCTAAGTACTTCGATGGTAAGGGTGGTGCGACCTTCGCTCCCCCTGAGCCTACTACGAACCCCGAGGAGACTTCGGGTAAGGATGGTCGGGATCAAACTCCTCTCCCTTGATTGATGGCCTAGAAGTTTCTTTTTTTGTACCGATTGGACTGCATTTTGGGAAGTTCGTGTCGTCCTTGGGCGTGATATCACCCCTTTGATTTTTTCTGTATTTATGGACTTGCATCTTTTTTTTTTTTCTCTTTTGGTTACCTTTACTCCCCCCTCAGTCCTCCTTTTCGATCCCTCCTCTATCTCATAAATCTCTTCCATTTACCATGTCGCGAATAAATGTAAAGAAATTGATTTCCTTTGATCTTATAAAGCACTTATAGTTCCCCTTTAGCTATTCCGACGCAGTAATTCTGCATGCCAAATATACTATAGACCATATCCAATCCTTTATTGCAAGCTTATACTAACCTCTAGGGCTAATCCTCAATCTTCTCAACAACGCAAGCAGTCCCATAAGCACAAATCTGCGAACAAGCCCCAAAACTGGCAACATCAAACCGAACGGCGATAATGGCATTTCCTCCTCGACTCATACACTCCCCTACCAACCGCTCCATAGCTTCCTCCCGAGAAGTATACATCAAATTCGTGAACAAGCGTATCTCCCCACCAACGGCTGATCGGACTACAGCCCCTAAATCGGCGCCCCAGTTGCGGGTTCGAACTGTTATCCCGTAGATTGTACCCAGGATACTTTTGATTTTGTAGCCTGGTAGATCATTCGTTGTTGTTGTTATTATGCCGTGGGTATCTGTGAAGCAGGATGGGACTTCTTTCTCCTTGAGTTGTTTTGGGGTTGGCATGGTTGTTTGGATGATTGATCAAGAGGATCCTACGACCGTCTTAGTATAAGATTTTCAAGGTCTTTATGTATGAATTGAGAGCTTACCTTGGCGAGGTTTTTATTCTGCCTGAATGAATAAGGGGTCGGAATCAAAACCGATTAATATTAAACCCCGAACTTGGTGTGATCGACGGGTTCCTCGTATTGGGGCATTTCACCATCATCTGAACCCAAACAGTGCCGTTTTACCCGCTGCGCCATTTTCCCATGGTATCTAGAGTTTGTATCCAAGATATCGTCATCGTTGAATCCTACACATAATTGTGCAGAAGCCAGAATGGAAGGTTTGAAAGAATTAAGTCATTGATTTTTGACAAAGCAGAAGGCATATAAATAATCAAGCAAGTGCATGTGTGTTATAGATTAATATGAAAGAAATCAGCAATCCCGAGCTTGCCATATATCAATTATAGATCCCTTATTTATTTGACCTTCTTCTCCTCGGTGTCCTCACCGACAGGCGCCTCGGCCACAACCGGGGCAGCCTTCTTGCCCTTGGACTCAGTCTTCTTGGCCTCAACAGATAGGCGAGGAAGGAACCGGCCCACGCGAGCCTGGTACTCGCTGTACTCAGGGTACTTGCTCGCGCTGATCTTCTCAGTCAGACGTGTGCTACCTTGGAAGATAGCAAGGTAGCCAATGACGCCAAGTCCAGTCCACTGGAGGTAGTTCTCAGTGCGGAAGGCGCACCAGAGGTACATTGTCACCCAAACAGCCTGCTCAGCGACAAAGTTGGGGTGGCGCGACCACGACCAGAGTCCGCTGACGACGAAACCACGCTCCAGATCCTCAGGGGTGTATTGGTCCTTGAAGGGCTCCGGGATGCGCGCATTGGTGAGATACTCATGCTTGGCAGACTGGAAGTTCCACTGCTGTTGGTCGGCGAAGAAGGAGATAGCGATAAAGAAGATGGCGGCGCGGGAGAAGGCCAGGTCGGCAAGACCGAAGGTCTCACCAGTCTGGTTGTTGGCCGCGATGACAAAGACGTAGGTCGGGGTGGTGATGAGCAGAAGGAGCAGAGACTGGGCCAAGGCGATGAATCCGAAGTTGAAGATCGTGAAAAGGAAGGTGTTGTTAACCTGCGAGCGTACAATTTGCCAGCGGTAATCCTCCGAGCCAATCGTGTAGCCACCTTTGCGCCAATAGTTGTAGGTCAAACGAGCCTATGGAGATATTCAGATTAGTGACACGTGGAAACAGATAAATACTGTTGGTTTATGCGCATACACTCCATAACATGCTGATGACAGCGATAGTATCCAAGGTCTCGGTACGAATGCCGGACAGACGCGCCCAGGCAGCGAAATGGACATTATACATTGCGGGCAGGATGCTCCAGAAGCGATCCACCTGCGAGTAGTTGCGGTTAATCTCAGCAGCGATAAAGAAGATTCCAGCAAGGACAGTTCCCAGCGCAAGCGCAAACACCAAGGGATTGGTGGCGAGGTAGACAGTCTTCAAGCTCTCCAGATCCCAGCCCGCCTCGCGCAAGCTGGCGGGGAGCCATTGCAGCTGCGTGAGGTAGGGGAGCACAGTTAGCTGGAAAGAGGTGCAGTCCACCAGGGACTCAACCTTAGGAAGGGGAAGGTCTGCCATTTCCCAAACAAAAACAACCAACACAGTTGAGCAAGATTGATTTCGGGGGGAAAAATGATAGAGAGGACTCGGAACGTTTATGTTTAGATTACCTCATCGGGTATGGCCTGCTGCCTCAGGCGACGATCGCCATTTAGGCCTCAGGCATCGACTCCTCGCGTCCCAAAGCAATTTACATCTTCCGTCAGAAGATATGCCACCCCGGCTTCCCGTGGGCGATTTCATCTGACCGCGTATGGTGTCTCATGGCGCGCAAAATTCTGTGTGTGGCGGAGAAGCCGGCTATTGCGCGTGCAGTGGCCACGCATATGTCTGGAGGGTCTTTTCAAACTGTAAGTTTTCCCGTACGATAAACAAGAACACGACTGATAACTTGATCCAGCACTCCATCCGTGGCAATCAGTATGTCAAGAACTATGAGTTTGATTTTAATTTTGGTGACCCTTGGGGAAACTGCTCTGTCACCATGACCAGCGTGATTGGCCACCTCACGGGTCTGGATTTTGAACGCCAGTACAAGGGCTGGCAGTCTTGTCCGCCCTCTGTATTATTTGAGGCTCCGGTAAATGAAGATGTTGATAAGGTTGGAAAGCACCGCGTTCCGCCAGGGACTTTGTTTATTGACCGTTCATTGTAGGACAAGCTGCCAATCGCAGAGAACATTCGAAATCAAGCCAGGTACAGCAAAGCCCTGTTCATCTGGACCGATTGTGATCGTGAAGGAGAGCACATTGGTAGCGAAGTTCGCAATCAAGCCAAAAGTGGAAATGCACGCATCGAGGTCAAGAGAGCCAGGTTCAGCAATACCGAGAGAGCGTGAGTGCCATTCGAAGATTGATGTCACATTTGACTAATACAATTACAGGCATGTTCTCCGCGCGGCTCGAGAGCCAGTAGATCTTGATGAATATCAAGCAAATGCTGTGGCTGCCAGAATCGAGCTTGATCTCCGTATTGGAGCGGCGTTCACCCGGCTACAGACCCTTCAGCTTCAAGCTGTAGCGGCAGTTTTAAAGGAGAAAGTCATCAGCTACGGTTTGTTTCTTCCTGCCTTTTTGACGATTTTGTATCTCACACGTCACAGGGTCATGTCAATTTCCTACATTGGGATTCGTAGTCGATCGGTATCTCCGGGTACAGAACTTCAAGCCCGAGACCTTTTGGGGCCTCAAAGTCATGCTTCAGCGGGAAGGAAAGAAGGTCAATTTTCTCTGGAAACGGGTTCACCTCTTTGATCGAGCGGTTGTGACGATGATGTTGGAGCGGTGTTTGACCGCGAAGGAGGCCAAGGTTACAAAAGTGGCTCAGAAGCCCAAAAGCAAATGGCGGCCTTTGCCCTTGACAACGGTGGATCTTCAAATGATGGGCAGTCGATATCTCCGCATTGACAGTCAAACGATCATGAAAGTTGCTGAGAGCCTTTATACCAAGGGATTCATCAGTTATCCAAGAACAGAAACGGACCAGTTTGACAAGGCCATTGACCTGAAGAAACTAGTCGAAAAGCAGTTCCCGGATACTCAATGGGGTCAATATGCTCGAGAGTATGCTTCATTGATGGGATGGTCTTTTAAACAATGCTAACAATATTTCATAGCCTCATCGATGGGAAATTCAGAACTCCCCGGTCCGGCCGTCATAACGACAAGGCTCATCCGCCGATCCATCCAGTAAGCTGGGTCTCACCGAGTTCACTAAATGCCAACGAGAAAAAAGTATATGAGTTCGTGACCCGGCGGTTCCTCGCTTGTTGTTCCGACGACGCGAAAGGCCAAAGCACAGACATTGAAATCCTGTATGGAGACGAAACCTTCCACGCCAACGGATTGCTTGTTCTAGAGAGGAACTATCTCGATGTTTACGTCTACGACAAATGGGAGAGCAGTCAGCAGCTACCCAAATTTGAGTACGGAGAAAAGTTTGTGCCCACCGAAGCGAATATCTTTGAAGGCAAGACCACCGCACCAAACTACTTGACAGAACCAGAGCTCATCGGTTTGATGGATGCGAATGGTATCGGCACCGATGCAACTATGGCAGAGCATATTGCCAAGGTTAAGGAACGCGAATATGTCGTCGTGAACAAGCGAGGAAGTGGCCGTACTTCAGTTGAAGAACTCATTCCGACTCGGCTGGGTGTCGCCCTGGTTGAGGGGTACGATAATGTTGTTTCGGGCCTTCCAAACAGTATCTCGCTTAGCAAGCCATTTCTACGGAAGGAAATGGAGCTGCGAATGCTTGAGGTCTGTGCGGGCACGAAGACCAAATCGGAAGTTGTGCAGCAGAGTCTTGATATGTATCGAGAAGTCTTTATTCATACTCAGAGACGCATTGAGATGTTAAAGGCTGCTTGTCGGAAATATCTCGTCGACTGAGCCACTTCATAAGCGTAAGGCCCTCGGCTCACGGACTCTCGCATGTCTTTGGTTCTAGCTATACGTTAAGACTACATAAAACAATAATTAAGATACCCCTCTGTTCTCCAAAGTTCCCAATACATCGGTGTTCTTATCAAAGACAGCAATAGAAAAGAGATCAAACATGTTCAGCTAACCATCACGCACCAAAGCTCTTGAACACCTCCCTCACATAACCCCCAATATGATTTGGACCTACTGGCTTAGACTCCAATTTGTCTACTCCACCACTGCAGTCAACGTTGCGAATTCCGAGTGCTCAAACTCCGGGTCCTCTGACGGAGAACCCTGTGATCTAGGGTTCGACAGCTCAGGACTTTCCTGTTTCTCCTGCCTGGTCTCAGCTTGACCTGAAACCACTGGATGCTCTTGAAGATCCATCTCAGTCCCGTTCGTCCGTGTCGATGACAGCGAAGCCAATTGATCAACACCAGTAGCCGCCCCCGTATCCGCATTATCAATCTTGATATCAATCTCATACTTCTTGATCTCCACCTTGAAAGCCCTTGTGAGCTCATCAGCCATCATGGTCGGAAGTCTCTGGAACTGATCATGGAAAGCATCAATAACCACATTCAGCATGAACAAGTTCCTATTAAATCCCTCTACAGTCTGTTTGAAATCATCTTTGATCTCTGTCCAGGTCTCCCTCCAGAATACATCCTGGTCGCCCGCTTCAGGGGTGTTCGCGCGTGACAGAGGAGGGGCTCTTTCCTGTGCGCAGGTGTCTCTGGACACAGCCTGGAGTTTTTTCAGGTCATCGAATCCTCTCTGGAGGCCTTTTTCCAGCGTTCCGTACATTTCGGTGAATTGCGCTTGCATGGCTTCGCGGATGTCAATGGAGAGCTGGACGCAATCTTGGGGTAGAGCTTCGAGGTTTTGGATGCTTCGGTGTATATATTGGAGTTCTTCCCGGGCGCCTTGTTGGACTTCTAGGGGGACTCCTAGGACGGCTTGAAATATATTTGGAAATGTAGAAGTTAGGAAGTTGTGGAAGTCCTGTCGAACTTCGAAGATGTTCTGACTTATTTCGAGTTGGAGGTCTTGCTGGGGTCGGGTAATTTCTGTTATGGCTATAGTTTGTAAGACGACAATGCCGAAGAAGATGAGCGCAAATGCAATCAAGTCGGTTTCATTTGTTGAGCTGTGAGGAGGAACAGTATCGTTGGGAGCTTTTTCTGGAATCGAGGTCTGTACTGACGAGATAGTTTTCAGCGCATTGATGAACATAGGATCCGGGTGAAGTTTTGAGGTTGGTATTGTGAGACGCACGTTGTGTTCGTTTTGGATTCTGTCTCCCGCTGTCTGGTTCATCAAGTGTTCCTTTGTCTGGCCCAGAGTGAACACAGTACTAGCGACTTGGAAAGAGCCAATGGTGCGATCTAGAAGAGAACGGGATGGCTGGACTGTTGTATAGGGGATGCCCCCAAAGAGGCCCCAGAGATTAGTGGTTAGGAAGACGATGATAGGGACTGTCCAATTCATAGTGGAGCTTCGAAAAGTTCAAATAACAATTAAACCTTGGACGTTGGAGGAAGTTGGAAGAGCTGAGAAATTGCAGTTCTGGATCGGTGGAAAGGAACTATTGTATCATTTTCACACAAAGAGTCATGAGGGGTGGGCAAACATGTAGTTTCGATTGTATAAGCTAACTTGGAGAGCATAGCAGCTGTGATTATCCGTGTTTGTCGGATCTATGCTGAAACCATTGTTTATGTTCTGCAAATAGTGAACAAAGCCATACATAGGATGAAGCTATACAATTTCAACAGCATAGAAGGCCTATGCATATGTATAAATAGTCTTCAAGGCAGTTGTAAGCATACTTTCTATTCCAAATGACTTGAACTTCGAAAAGATCGATTTGGGTCTTTCCTCTCGGCTTTCTGACATGGGAGTTATACGATAGTTGACGAAGTGTGAAAGACTCTTTGTCTCCAGCTACTGTCCGCTCCTGCAGTGTGAGACAGAATGTACTTGTGAGCACCTTCAGGTTACGCTACATGTATACCCTTCCTCCAGGCTACTAGTACTAGTTTAGAGAAACCTAAAATTAACAAACATCTCCGATATCGACAGAGGCAGTTCTTTGCTTTATGATAGGTCGGCATAAACTATGATAGAATCACGTAATTTTTTTTTGAAGTGTTGATTGAATTTTGACACACACATAACATCTCGAATTAAAACAAATTTTGTAACGCCCTCTCCCCAACCAACACCCTAAGGCTTCCCGCGGAGGGCAGCGCTAGCATAGAGAATGTCTAGGAAAGAGAAGCGACTTTACTCTCCAGGACCGGGAACGGAAAGAAACCCATGAAGGACGAAGCCATTCGAGTAACCCTCAGCAAGCCACAAAGTGGAGTCCCAATGGATTTACATCGTAATGTAAACTGTAGATGGAGAGGAAAGAGAACGGAGAAGAGGAAATTGACGCGGCCCGAACTTATTGAGAATTTCTGTTTCCGCGCTAGAGCTGATTGGGCCCGGCGCCGCAATTCTTCCGGATCACGAGCCAAGCCCCAGCAGAGGTCTCTTGTATGTTCGGTCTTGAATCTTGATGTTGGGTTATTCTCACAATTTGGTTATTTGACTTGCTTGTGATTTTTTTTGTGGGGTTCAACGATGGCTTCGATCTTCAGTGCTGCGGACATCACGTCGTCGAAGTTGACAATGTTGGAATGTGGAGCGGATTCGCTAGGCGATAATTGTCTTGTCTCACCACGTTTTCAATGTGTCTGGAAATTGAAAGTTTGAGGGACTGCGATTGAAGAAATGATTATAATTGAAGTTTAATTAATATAAGTTCCACACTCCCTTAGGCCCTAGATGCCTGGAGAAGTAATGTTTTACATATTTGATCATGATAAAATCACAAGCTTTGTTCACAGGCTCAAACAAATACTAAGCGTCCTTAGCTAGAAATCGTAATTATTACAGCATTACCACAACAGCACCAAAGATATCAATAAGCTTAAACTGCACCCTACTTCGATGCCGTATCTCCAACTTCAGCAAGATGCTCAGCACCCTGATAAAACTTGGGCAGAGGCTCCAATTTCTGGCGGAGGATCCACACCCGGAAGTGCCAGATACTGTTCCTAATCTGGTACGCAGCATGCTTTCTCGTAGACACGGAGAAAACCTGATCCAATTCCTCCAAAGTGAGAGCTGGACAGAGATCATTAGCTGTGCTTCAAAGCCGAGAGAAGAACTACAAACTCACCCTTGGTTTCCGGAACAAAAAGCAGAACGAGGAACCAGCCGACAATACACCAACCAGCATACCACCCGAAAGCTCCCTGGGGCTTGAATGTACTCAAAAGGTGTGGCCAGGTAAAGGACAAGATAAAGTTAAAGCACCAAGTCGTCGCGGTAGCCCACGACATGCCCACTTCTCGAACATGGAGAGGGAATGCCTCAGCGGAGTAGGTAAACGGAACGGGCCCTTCACCTGGTGAATAGAAGACTTCGAACAAATACATGCCCGTCGTTACCATCGCAATTCGCTTGTGGCCATCATTGGCATCGATCCAGAATGAGAAACCTGCCCAGAAGAGGAAGATAGCTAGGAAAGGGAATGTGAAGAGCAGAAGGTTGCGGCGGCCCCAGGTATCGATTGTAAACACGGCTGGTAGAGCAAAGATCCAGTTGAGGATACCCGTACCCATAGACGCAAGCAGTGCAGACGATGTACTGTAGCCTGAATCTACGAAGATGGTGGTGGAATAGTAGGCAATCACGTTGACACCGCAGAACTGTTGCATGAACATGACAATCCAACTTGCTAGCGTTGCACGGCGGTTTCGGGGGATTGTGAAGAGCTCCATAAACATGGAGAAGAAGTTCTTGCCCTTGTTAATCTCACGCTCAAGCTCAACACCCACGTAGGCGTAGTACAAATCTCGAGCGGCCTGCAACTCAGTAGGACGAAGAATTTTGAAGTTGACATAGGCCTTATTGATCTTGTTCTGCTGGATGAGCCATCTGGGGGACTCAGGACACACATAGACCTGAGCACAGACGATCAAGGGAAGTACAACGGTTGATCCAAGCATAAGACGCCAGTTGAGGTCATTTCCAACACTCATGAAGGCCACTCCCATGATGTTTCCCAGCATTATACCGAATGCTGTCCACATCTGCCACATCATCACCAGTGCACCCCGAATGGGCGCTGGCGAACATTCGGCTGCGTAGATAGGTACTGTTGTGGATTTCGAGCCGATTCCCAGTCCGAGCACAAAACGTGCAATGAATAGATTGACCCATGAGTTGGCGACGCCTTCCCAGATTGAGGCTATGGCTGCGATGAGGCAGGAAATGAAGATCGTACCGCGACGCGCAAAGTAGCGGTTGAGGGGCTCGGTGAGCCAGCAGCCAAGGATGGCACAAGCTAGGTATGGAGCGCCGACGACGAGGCCGGTAAGGTTATCGCTGTTCTCGATTCCAAATCGCTAATGACTGTCAATTACTGATTCCCTCAGGAGCGGTTAGCGTATTTTATTTACCTTAAGGTAAAAAGCTTGTGCGCCATTGTTCACTGTCTCGTCCATTCCCTGCACCGCTGCAGCCAGGGAACACATAACTAAGACACGATTAGCTGGTGTCCATTGACTGGATTCAGTGAAGACATACTCGCGAGCCAGTATAACTGCCATGGCTGATGCCATTTATGCGTATGTTCTCGGATAAGTGCTTCCCTTTCGAACTCATTGAGATCGGGCAATTGCGTTGCTGTCTCGGGGTTTTGTGAGACGAGAGCGCCCTTTTTGAAAGTCTCCAGGTCTTCTAGGAGATCGAATTTGGTGCAAAATTCTTGGACGTTCTTGAACAACTGCTCGCGAGGGATACCGGCCAGGGGATTTTGAAAGACAGCATTGAGGTTATTGGGCCCACGACCTTCGAGGTCTTGAAGTGCACCATCCTTCTTCTCCTTGTGTTCAAAGGATGGAGGGTCATCGGTTTTCTCACTGAGCCTCGGTGAGGAGTTCACAACCTCGTCCTCCTTCATGGTAGGTGAGTTATAATAGTAACCAATCTAGGATAGCTTCACACAGCCTGGCAATGAAGCTAATGATTTCTCAAAGAATCCGAATTGTGGGGAAAGGCCATCCTTTAAAGAAAGAGTGGGTTGTGGGGAAACAATCCTTCTATTTCCTGCTTATCATCCTGCGCTCAGACAAGTGCTGACATCTACAGAGCTAATCCCAGTCAACGCTCATTTCTTTCTTTCCTGCTATAGTATTGCGGCATAAGCCGCAAATGAGAAAAGACCTGCTTCAACCCCAGTGAATCCATGGACCACGCCGTCATCCAGTAAGGCTTCAAGCGCCATCTTTCTATTTTGCTTTCTTGACGGGATCATCGACCCAGTCAGCCCCAGCCGAACGATCCGAGAATTCATGGAAAATAGAGTGAGGACGTGCCCCTTGTCATCGGGCTCGCCCCATGCGGAGTACAGCATCCCCATGGGGGTGGGCCTAATAGAGTGGACCACCACGCGAATGAAAGCCAATAACATCGAACAATGAAGAGCTAGCGTAGGATTTCTTTCCTTGCCCATAAGGATCTCGGTCACACCGTTCCAGTCAGCGACATGCACTCGGATCAATACGAGGTATCCAGGAAACGATCGACGGTGGAACGACCTATCAAGCTGGGGGACGGAATATATTACGTCATGTTAGCTGTAGGTTGCCAATGGTCTTTGTCAGTCAACTCGAATCAGATTGAACAGACCTTGCTTGCGTTAAAGATAATCAAGCCACTTACGACTGGGCTGACATCTACTGTCCAAGCACACTTGGGGAATTTTTATTCCGTGAGGAGCCGCCGTGGTTTAGACCGTTTGGGGCTTTTGTGGCTTACGGCACTGACAGCCGTGACGCCTCCCGCTGATTTGTGGAGTTGCCCCAGAGGTTAATATGACCCCGCAATTCTGTCAAAGCCCCGTATGGGGACGGCAAGCAGTGATGGAAGTGGCATCGATAATCATCACCTCGTTGGTTCCGATTCGATGCACTGGAAGTCTTACGCCAAGATGTGATCGAGCGCTCCATTTTACCGTTTTAGTGACCTGGCATCAATGATAATTATTCTCTGGAGTTTTCAAATCTTAGAGAGGTTAAGTTAACTATTGTGTTACGGTGATCAAAGGGTTGATGCTGGCAAATTTATGTCGCTGTTTTCGTAAATTTGCATCATGAGATTGATTCTCGATACCATAAACAAGCTTCATTTTTCCATCACACTTAGTATCTTCAGCGACTCCAACTATTCCTAAGTTCAACCATTGAGTCTTCCTCTGGCATTTCTCTATCTCTTTTAGTAAACACTCCCGGAGACTGGAGCCGTATATTCACCGTAAAATGACAATCTCTTGAACTTCAGCGATTCAAATCCCTTTTCGTCACCACAGCAATGATCTCATCTAGAGTCTTCGGCCGAGTTATCCGATGAACGTCAAGGTTGATGAGACTGCTGTCAAAGTAATTCAAGCAGGTCCTGAACATCACACTCCCATTTACAACGTCACACATGACGGATACACACCTCCCAAGTCTATTTTCCGATTGAATGCCCCCGACTACCTTCCAGAACCCAACCTGTCTCGTCGTCAAGCTGCTCTGGATCTATCGACCATCCGTATGGAGGGGAAAGCTGGAAGTTGTTGGGGCCTTGTCTCTTGTGATCATGCGTGTACAATCAGACTGACTTACTGGACGACATCAACCTTCTCGACAACAGAATTGTTCACTGATTAGGTCAGAAGCGGACATTCCTAGTTCGGTCATGATTCTTGAAAGCTTGATAGGCTGTTGAGTGAACGGAATGAGGCTTCTTCGAGTGTTACAGTCGCAGCTTGACAAGGGACAGATGACTAATAGAGTTGTCTGGATCCATGGGTAGTAAAGCAGTCGTGGATAGGTTTTGATGTTAAGTGCCAGGTGGAATCTGCGATTAACCTTGACAAGGTCACAGGCGTGATTTTTAACAATTTAATGAACACGAACACCGATACGGCCTCGAGAATGGGAATATTTGGAAAGGTGTTGAAATTGACGTAAATTGACGTTCAGAAATTCCTTCAACATTACGTAGACCATGTTAATATGTACGATTCCGAATATATACTGGACTGATGACAAGAAAACATTGAAAATACATTAGGTGTACACCGCAGAGTTCCCAAATGATTGAAGATAGCGTAGCCCAGTCTCCTACTCAAGTCGCTTGCTCAGAACGACACCATAGTAGATCGTCGCAATAAAAGCAGCCATGTTGATCAGACTCGAAACACCATGCACACGACCAAACTTCTTGTTCAAGGACAACATCTCCTTAGAGTGAGGAGCAGGGTCATAGCTCTTCTTTCCATCGCGAGTTTCTACACAAGTCAGAAAAATATACGCAAGGACGAAGACATCAAGTACGTACCCTGGTGCTTACGCTCGCGCATAATCTTGATAGTGATCGGGCGCAGAACAAAATTGTTAACCAGGCCTGCGAGGGCAACAGCGGCCAGTGGCAGCGTGGTGTTGTAGCGGTTCTCAGGGGCCATAAGGCCAGAAATACCTAGTGCTTTACCACCGGCGCTGGCGGTCAAAGCTACAGCCACCGGGAGTGCTGTCTGGATGGAGAAGTAGACGGGGAAAATGGCGGATTGCAGACTGGCAAATTGGGGACGCGGCAAGGCGCGGAATGCGACTATGCCACCGACGAAGGACTGGGATTGAATTAGCATGGTTGAATAGTTTGTAATGGGTGTAAGCTTTTTATTTAGTTCAAGTTTGGCTCACCTGGAAGAACTGTGTGCCCAGAAGGGTGCCATAGCTGGTCAAAACATGTTAGTCTATTTTTTTCAGGTGAACGATGCATCTTTGCATGTTCATATCATAGCTGGAGTAATGACGCACCCGAGTATGTGGTATGGACGAGGGTCATTCATTGTGGTATTCGTTTCGGACACTAGAGATCGATGAAGCTGTACTACAAGAGAGTTTAAGTCCCAGTTTGAACGTGGGGGGCGCGTGGAGAAGCTGGGTGGTATGATGCATATTTCCACGCCTCATAAGTCTTGGCTCGAGGACTATTTCCACGCGGTCAGTGGCTGAATCAGGTATCCACACGCACAGTCTGTTAGGGTCACGGAATCAGATGATGTCATGTGCTCGCGTTTGCGCTAGACCAAAAAGGAAATATCACGCGTCTGCCTGTTCTACTGCTGTACTTCTGCCTCGCAGAATCCCCTGCGCAAACTTGACTCCGAACACATCTTCAAAATGGCCGAGAAAGAAGCTACTGTGTACATTGTGGATGTCGGGAGGTCAATGGGAGAGTGTCGAAATGGCCGCTCCATTACCGACCTTGAGTGGGCCATGCAATACGTTTGGGATCGCATCACCACCACAGTATGTGAGCTTTCATTCAGGAAAAGGTCAAAGCTGATAGCTTTTTCCAGGTCTCCACAGGTCGTAAGACAGCTACGATAGGAGTGCTTGCTTTACGGTCTGATGGTAATATCCCAATTGATAGCTGTTTAGACTGGGTCTAATTTGTTCAATTCACAGATACTTTTAATGAACTTTCGGCAGACGATAGTTTCGAACATATTTCCGTTCTTTTCAATATTGGACAGTATGTTTCTTTTCTTGTTGGAAGCTTTGGCCAACTTGCTAATGTCATCTAGGGTTCTTATGCCTGACATTCGAAGACTGCGAGATGCAATCAAACCCAGTCATACCTACAAGGGCGATGGTATGTGAAAAAGCATCTTATCTTGATGGAACCTCTTAATAACATATTGAAAGCTTTCTCTTCCCTTGTTGTTGCCATTCAAATGATCAGCACTTATTGCAAGAAGCTCAAGTACAAGCGAGAGATTGTGCTGGTCACGAATGGTACAGGTTTGATCAACAGCGAGGACCTGGAGCCAATCAAGGACAAGGTCAAAGAAGATAATATCAAGCTGACTGTTCTGTGCGTTGAATATACTTTGTCACGTTGGATTTTGCTAACCCCTTCAGTGGGCCTGATTTCGATGATCCGGATTGGGGAGTGAAAGAAGAAGACAAGGGCGAGAGAAAGGTATGAGGAAATTCATACATCCTAGCGGTCTGCCATGCTGAATCCTATCGCAGGCTGCAAATGAAAAGCTGCTTCGGGACTTTGTCGAAGACTGTCCCAATGGCGCATTCGGCACCCTTGATCAAGCTGTCTCCCAATTGGACATACCTCGTCCGAAAGAGACAAGAAGCATGCCATCCTTTAAAGGTTTCCTCTCGCTTGGTGATGCGGAGAAATATGAAACGGCACTCCGCATCCCTGTCGAACGATACTTCAGAACTTATAGTGCCAAGCCTCCAACTGCCAGCTCCTTTGTCGTGCGAGGTGGCGATGAGCCAAGACAAGGAGATGCAGGACCCGCTTCCACTCCAGCTGATAAACTTAAATCTCTTACCAGTGAAGGCAAAAGAGATGCAATGGCCGCTGTCCGAACTTCACGAACATATCAGATTGATGACGAGTCTGTCCCTGGGGGCAAAGCCGATGTGGAGCGCGATGACCTTGCCAAAGGATATGAGTATGGACGCACTGCTGTGCATATCAGCCAGACAGACGAGAATATTACGACACTGGAAACCTTTGCGGGCCTCGAGCTCATTGGTTTCATTGCAGATGACAAGGTATTCTCCTTAATAATTAGGTCGTCATATTCACGCTAATTTTGCCATCCAGTACGATCGATACCTGCACATGTCAAACGTCAACGTTATCATCCCACAGAAAGCTCACGATAAAGCAACCCTCGCATTGTCATCGCTGATTCATGCGCTCTGGGAGTCAGATAGCTATGCCATTGCTCGACTGGTCACCAAAGAGACCAAGCCGCCCCTCATCGTACTTCTCGCTCCATCAATTGAATCTGATTATGAATGTCTTCTGGAAGTTCAGCTTCCATTCGCAGAGGATGTGCGATCATATCGATTCCCTCCCTTGGACAAGGTTGTCACCGTGTCCGGAAAGATTGTCACTGAGCATCGCAATCTCCCAAGCACTAGCTTGCAGGAGGCAATGGATGAGTATGTGGACAGCATGGAGTTGGACTTGAAGGATGATGATGGGTAAATCGACCGTTTCTTATTCTGAAAGTCGATCCACTGCTAACCAAACATCAATTCAGAGATCTAATCGAAGGACTCCCAATTGAGCACTCTTTCTCCCCACTGCTACATCGAATCGAAGCTGCAGTACGATGGCGCGCCGTGCATCCCGATGATCCTATCCAGAACGTATCAGAGCAGTTAACCAGATTCTCCCATCCTGACGAAGACCTGGTAAACAAGTCCAAAAAGCAACTAGAGAAACTCATCTCCGTCGCAGATGTCAAGAAAGGTTAGTCCTCAACCCTCATCTACGCAGAAAAACCCACTAACCCAACCAATCTAGTTCCACCCAAGACAAAAGGCCGCAAACGAAACCGCGAAACCGAAAAGCCCCTCTCCGGCCTCGACGTCGACGCCCTCCTAAACCAAGAACCCAAGCGCGCGAAAATCTCCCCAGAAAACGCCATCCCCGAATTTAAGCAGCTGCTTTCCCGTGCCGATAACGTCGAGGCTATTCTTGATGCCGTCAAGCAGATGGGCACCATTATCGAGAACCAGATTAAGCATAGTCTGGGCGATGCTAACTATGATCGTGTCGTGGAGGAATTGGTTACTATTCGTGAGGAGTTGGTTGAATACGAAGAGCCGGGGGCTTATAATGAGCTTTTGCGCAGTCTGAAGGGCAAGATTCTCGGTGAGGAGCTTGGGGGCGATCGGAAAGAGTTGTGGTGGCTCCTGAGGAAGAGTAGATTGGGACTTATTGATCGGAATGCCTCTGAGATGTCTGAGGTTACGGAGGATGAAGCGAATGAGGTGAGTTATTCTTTGGGGGATTGAATTTTATACTGACTTTCTATAGTTCTTGTCTGCTGCCTAATTGAGATACCATCTTGACCTGTATCAATTTGCTTTTTACTGGTGTTGCTACTGAGCGAGATTACTGCATCATGAGTGTTTGTCTACTGCGATGGTTCCTTAAAAGTAGTCAATGTGCTTATTTAAAATGATCGTACAAAAATGACAACCTTGCAAGTGTAGTAACTGGTGATACTCGCCCGTGCTGGGAATCAAGAATAGAGAATAATTTGCGCTAAAGAACGCCCATAGAGAACATGAAGTTCAAATGCCCAGTATGTATATGGCATGAATCATCAAATAACAAAGAAAATATGCACAATCTTCCGCTTAGGAAATCTTTCCAATCCGCTTCTTGCCAATATCGAGCTTGGATTTCAGACTGCAAAAGTTAGTATATAGCACAAACTCCAAGGAAAAGAGAGACGAACCGATCAGTATCCTCGTCAGCCAATTTCAACAATTCATTCTGCACATTCAACTCCTCATGAATCGCCGTTCCAAGCTCCCTCTGCCGAATAATAATCTTCATCAAGTCCTCAACACTAGCATCCTGATTCTGCATTATCTGCTTCTGCAACTGCAACACACCCTCATTATCCAATTCGCGTGTGCGCTCCGTCTCCTTTCCAAGGACCCGTCCAGTTTTCGCAGGTGTTCGGCGTCCGTTATTAGCAGAGTCTCCCACATTCATGAGTGCTTCTTTGTCCTGAATCGAGGCTACAGCATGGTCAAGTTTGCTCTTAGTCGCCATCGCATGCGAGAGATCCTCCAACCCGTCTTTTTCTTTCCGGGCGTTGATGAGCAAGTCCTTTCGACGGCGAAGCTCGCCTTCGCCGAGACTGGGTGTTGCGGAGGTTTTGGATTGCGCGCGGCCGCTGAGGTTCTTCAGTCCTTCTTCGAGGGTTGAGATCATAGAGCCTGCACGGACAAGACTAGATTTTGCTTGTGCGGAGCTTTCGTGTTGTTTCTGCGGCGTTGTTTCTTGGTCTCGGCGGGAGAGTGCGAGGCGGGCATCGTGCAAGTGGGCTTTCAGGTCACGGAAGTAGTCTAGCCAGAGCGTCGGGTCTGTGATTGGGGCGTTGGATGCATTTCCGGGATCGGTGATTGCGGCGTGAAGCCTTGTTGAGGAACTCGCTGCGCTGGCTGATGCTGAGGCTGCTGAGGGGAGGTTAAGGAACGCCCGCCACGCTGGTGAGTTGCGCCAGCGGCTGTCGGGGGACTCGTTTATGGCTCGGAGATAGTCTTCTAGACCTATACGGCGCTCTTCGCGGAAGCTGTCGTTTGAGGTCGTCTTTGAGAACCAGGATTTTGCTGGGAGGGGGACTGGGGGTTGGGCATTTGTCTGGCTGATTAGGGTCTTGTGGAATGTTGAGAAGTCGGAGTAGCGCTTGGAGACGGTAAAGGAGCGGAGTGGGAGACGGAGGGTTATGTGGTAGACGGTGTGTGGGGGAGACGTGGGGGATAGAGAGGTTGTGGTTATGGCAATCTCTACAGTCGGCGCCATGTTGTTGTAAAGATGGAAGTCGGAGAAGCTGTTCAGAGATAAGAGGGAGAGTTACCCGCATGACGCAACCCGAATCGGTCTTAGTCCCACAAAATTGTTTTCTTTTTTGAAGTCAACGTCACATCTGCAAGCTTGTGACGATCACGGACATGATGGATACATCTCATATTCTTAATCAGCTCTCACTGTCACCTACAAGATTTCCGGATTGCTGCTTGGCTATTTCCAGCACCTTGATCACCTCTATTGTTGCACTCCTCCCCAAGAAGCCCGCCTTTACGCTCTCGATCGGCAGCGGATCAGGTCTACTCGAGTATCTACTTGCTCATAGCAATGAACATGTATCAGTTCAGGGTGTGGAGGTGAGCTCAACTGTCAATCGGTACATTTCCGAGGAAGATATGCATGTCGTTAGTGGTGCGTGGGGTCTATATTCCTTTGCCAAGCAGGCTACGGCATGGATGTTTGTGTACCCACGCGACCCGAAGCTTGTCACAAGATATCTTGACTCATATGGCAGTGAAGCTGTAGAAGTGATTCTCTGGCTTGGGCCACGGGTCGATTGGCCCGACTATGAGCCGTGTTTTCGCCATTCCTCATTCTCGAAGCTTGAATTTCCAGATATCGGATTAACGCCGTATGAGGTCGCGGTAGTTGCCCGAAGATCATGACTTCAAGCCAAAACTGTCAAATTAGGGGTATCATGTTCCTCTCAAATCGAACTATTCATACAGATTAAGCCCAGACTTCCCGTGAGTCTAACAGGTCTCGCTGGCCAAAGAACTCGCCAGCCACCGTGATGATCATGTCAAGCATGGCGCGAGTCTGTTTAGCCACGGATTCTTGGTCTGCACTGGCGAGCTCATCTTCCGCACTTTCTTGCACCTTCGCCTGTAATCGGGCCTTGGCTGCCTCCAGCTCCGGGTCATTTCCATCAGCCATGTCCGCATCGGCATCTTTAACGGCATCGTTCCCAGGCTCCGGCTGCATTATTTCTTCTGACTCTTCCTCTGGAGCTAAAATTTCCGGCTGTGTGTCCTCTCCAGCTTCCGACTCTAGCGGTGTTTCCTCGCCTTCCATCTGTGGATTCTCCTCCGCCTCCCGGATTTTCTGTAAGATCTTCACAGCGCGTTTCCCGATATCACGGATATCTCCCACCTCTTCCGTGGACAATTCTCCAATCTCCCGACACTTGCCCAGCAAGCCCCAGGCCCAGGCACCGATGCGTCGAATCTTCTCGGCATCTCCACCCCGCAAAATTTCAGACAACAGTCGTGCCATGATTTGCAATACCCCGAGGATACTTTCTTGGTCCATACAGGCCAGTTGGGCCATCTGTGGATCCACGGCCATAACCAGCCGTCTCCATTCCTTGCGTGCGGCATCGACGCCGCGGGGGAGGGTAATTGGATGGCTGTCATCGAGGCCGGCGATAGCAGTAGCTGGGGGCGAACACTTCAGGGTAGATCGGAGTAGTAAAAAACGATGTCGGAGTAAGTCGTAGTAGGAAGCCTGGGCTTCAGGAAATGTGCTTGGAGGGGTTGAAGGCGTGGTTTTGTTCTCGGGCGGAGCTATGTAAGCTTGCTCACGATCGAAGAATCCATGAGGAAAAGAGGTTGAGTATGGTTTGGTGTTGGGCGCATTCGAATTTTGTGTCGGTTGTGTATCATCTGTCTTTGGGATCTTTGCGATAAAGAGCGAAGGTAGCGCGCTCGCCTCGGATCTAGAAGCTCAGCAATGTCAGGTTATGTTCTTGCAGCGCATATAGGGGCTAAGGAACTGGGGCGCATTGGGCGATATTTAGCAGGCAAGAATCGACCAAGAGATTAATAACCTACCGGACCATACGAAGATATTCCAGCCCATCGTCTGCATCGTCGTAGCAGAGCTCTTCGCTGACATTGTCCAGACCTGGGAACGCGTTTTTCTGGCCGTATATCGGATTATTGTACGGTTTCTCATAAGACGTCACAGAAGATTGTTCGCCCTCATCATCATATGATATGCGAGCCCGCTTGGACGAGGGGGCTGCCATGGATGCTTTACGCTTGTCAGGCATTGCGGTGTGTAGGAGGAAAAGTCGCTGAACTCCGACATCCTTATCGGCTCCTTATCGCTTTATCTCCTTATCTTTATCGGAGATCTAATGGCCTTCACCCACTGCAGGTATGACTGCCATTTATCTCTTCATGCAGGAGGTGGTTCTAGCAGAGTAGCGAGCCTCTCAGCCAATTTCAAAATATGGATGTCTCATGTCTGAGGTTCTCTTCTGCCCCACTGGATTTCTTTTGGCGCATCTCTCCGTCCTAATTGAATTCTATACCCTCGGCGAGAGCCCAACAGCTACACAGCCCTAGTCCTCTGCATTGATAGGGGTCTTGGTAGTTTCCCTGGTGTGTAGTGGGAGAGAGAGAAATAATCCCTTGTGTCTATGCTCAGTTGCTGAGGAAGGAGCACCCGAGGGGAATTGCCTTAGTTCGACAGCTTTGTGCTGAATACCAGATTGAATTCACAACCTTTTAGAAAGCGGCCAGTATGAGAGTTGGAATGACGACGATATTCATGGATCTAGTTCCCGTTTGAGCCTCAACTCCCCCAGAAAAGAATGCTCTTTCACACCACAGCGGAATTAGGTAAGCCCATGTACATGCAGGTGCACCAATTAAACCTTGCATTCAAAAGCTTAAATCTCATGTGCCAGATCTCCACAAAATATCAGTGGGGCTGTCATGCACTGCATCTCCACTAAGAGGGCTGGGAAATCGGTTGGGGACAGAATAAGGTACTGGATGATCCTATCCATGTGTGACATCTCATCCAAAGCAAATTTCTATTTACTGCCGAAACTACTCCTGACGAAGCACCTTGGGATTTTACATTTCATAATCTCAGAACCGTCCCAATAAATGCATTTTTCATCTCTTATCTACACAAGTTATCCTCTAAGGGCGCAGACGCTGGGGGTCACGAGGGAACAACGATGCCAAACGAACATTGGGCAGGCCAAGGAAGAACATAACGATACGGTTCAAACCGAGACCACCACCGGCGTGGGGAGGACATCCCTGGCGGAAAGCGTTGAGGTAATCCTCAAAGCCCTCCTGGGTGGGGTCGAGACCCTTGGAGCGCATGGAAGCCTCCAGTTCATCAATGTTGTTGATACGCTGAGCACCGGACATGATCTCCTCACCGCGCATGAAGAAGTCGTAGGAATTAGAGAAGCGGGCGTCCTTGGGGTCGGCCTTGGTGTAGAAGGGACGGACAGCCATGGGGAACTTGTCCAGAACGTAGAAGTCGGTGTCGTACTTGTCGCGAATAATCTGGCCGAGCTGCTTCTCCTGGGCAGTGGTGAAGTCGTTTTCGAAACGTTCCTGCTCGGACATGTCAACGCCAGCGGCCTTCAGCAGCTCGACACCGTCCATGTAGTTCAAACGCAGAGCCTTGCCGTCCTTGGGCAGTTTGAAGTCTCCGGCCTTGGGGTAGGACTTCTGGATGATAGCAATCTGAGCGGCGTAACGGGCCTTAAGCTGACCCAGGATGAAGACCAGCAGGTCCTCAGCGAACTCCAAAACCTCGTGGTAGTGCTTCTCGAAGGTCTTCTCGAAATCGAGACCGGCGAACTGTGACGTAATTAGCAATGGGATTCGCTTTGGTTTGCGGCGTGATCATACCTCAGTCAAGTGACGGTGGGTGTTGCTGTCCTCGGCACGGAACACAGGGGCAATCTCGAAGACGTTCTCCATGTCACCGGCAATACACATCTGCTTGTACAGCTGGGGGCTCTGGGCCAGGTAACCCATGCGCTTGAAATACTTGACCTCGAAGACGTTGCTGCCACCCTCAGTAGCCGCACCGACCAGCTTGGGAGTGAAGATCCATCGCGAGCCGCTCTTGATCATGTATTCAGCAAACAGCTCTGCAACACCGCTAGAGATCCAGGTGATAGCCTGGCTGGTCTCAGTCTGCAGGTCCAGAACACGGTTGTCAAGACGGGTCTTGAGAGTAACGATGGGAGCACCGGACTCGTCAACCTCGTTCTCCTTCTCCTCGGTAGGGGGCGGGCGCTCAGCATCCTTAACCTGCATGGGCAGCATCTGCGCAGCCTCAGAGATCATGTAGACCTTGCGAATGTGAAGCTCCAGGTTCTGGATGGAAGCGGAGGAAATCGGAATCTCAGGCTTCTTCACAATACCAGTGACCTGAATGATCGAGTTGACGTTCAATCCACCGGTGTACTTGATCATCTGGCGGGAGATGGGCTCGGCGGCGGCAATGACGGCCTGGACCTTCTGACCCTGCTGGCGCAGCATCAAGAAAGCCAGCTTAGCACTCTGAACACGGGCATTGTCGACACGCGCGACAACAGTGACCTCCTTCTCGTAAGAATCTTCTGTCAATTGGCTGAATCGGGTGGAAGAGATGACGTCCTCGGTCTCGGGGAGCGGGCCGTAAAGGTCCTTAGCTGTGTCGTTGGCTTCCTGGGCGGCGGCCTGAGCCTTCTCCTGGGCAGCACGGGCAGCGGCCTTCTCAGCCTTGGCCTTCTCCTTCGCAGCCTTCTTAGCGGCGTTCTTGCTGGCATTCTTGGTCTCGCCCTCGGCGGGAGCGGCCGCGGGGGTCTCCTCGGGCTTGGGACGGGTGGGCAACTCAGAGTCCGCCATGATGCTGAGCAAAAGAGTCAGTGGTGTCGACTTGATTTAATTAGGGGGAAGGCAGTAAGGCGCATAGCTATATTACCTTAATGATGGATTGATATCTCGTCACGGGCAATCCACTTGAGTCAACACTTGAGTCACCCCGCGACAGGCCACAGAATGCCCTAAGCCCTAAGAGGGGTGTATGTCCACGTGACCTGGATGACATGTTTCTGCCCGATAAATAAGGACAAGATAAGATCAAGTAGAGTTTCAATGCTAAGTAGAATATTGCTGCAAGATAACTATGGATACTCAAAATATATACACTATAGATGAAGGCACCGTGTTCATGCTTATATTCACATAAATAAAACCCGACGCTGTGCATATAATACTGCATGCCCAAATGCAGGTTAAATCAGGAAGACCACTTGGAGGTCTTCAGAGCCCACTGTACACCCTTCTGTACATCATCTGCTATAGTAGTGGGGGTCCAAGCAGGCTCACCACCAGGGTAAACTCCAGTGCGAACCAAGATGGACTGCCATTTGCTTCCATATTCACTGCGGTAGGAGTTTGCACCGCGGATATCCGACTCAGGGTTGTCACCAATCATATACACATGCTGCAGAGGTGGGAGATCAGCTGCATCTCCAAAGACCCTGGATCGGTTCCGAAGCAGCTGTCGCTCAGCAAACTCATAGGTCCCCTGGTAAGGCTTTCCGATCACTGTCTTTTTCAATTCAATGCCCTTGCTTGGTCCACCTGTGGTCGCAGCCCAGACACCCTCTAGTGCCTCACGGAATCCGCCCTGACCAAGACGGGGCAAGGGATAGGCGGCTGCCCAATATAGATCTGGGTTGGAAAAATAGAGGTGAGGCTGGCCGTCCTGTTGATACCCGTGATTGGGGAGATCAATCTGACCGTTTTTCTCCGATATGGTACCTACATGTCCCTGGCGTGAAAGCAAAATGTCCATGATGACCTGTGTATCCAAGCCCCAGTCTCGGGGATCATTGAAAACGAACACTGCATCGATCTTCAGTCCCTTTTTCGGATCTGTGGGGTCAATTGGTTTCGGAAGAGGTCTGGCAAATGTCTTGTAGTGGTCTGAGAAGTTCTTGGAAAATGGCCAGATGGATGGGTTGGCCATGAAGATGTCTCCAGGCGTCACAACATTCTTGAATCCATATCTGAGATAGTTTGTTAGATAATCAATGATCCATAGGCGGGCATGCCGTCCACATACTGTTCTGCAACACGCCGGCAATTGTCCCCATCACCTCCAGCCACCAAAACACATTTTTTCTCCAGCGCGCTTGACTCATCTGGCCCTTTTACCAGCTCGGCAAAAGGCGAGTGGCTTTGCACAATGTCAGTCACATCCAGGGGCACGTTCAGCTTCTCGCTGATTTCAGCTACTCGTTCCGTCTCGTGTTTACCGCCGCCATTAGTGAGGAGGATGAAAGGAATGCCTTGTTGTTTAAGGAGAGCCAATGAGTCAGCGGCACCAGGGATAGGCTTAGAAGCTCGTAGGAGGACACCATCGATACTAAATCAGAGTGTCAGACATAGCGATTCAGACTGTAGTTATGTGCATACATCATCATCCCTACTCACTCAAAGGCAAAAGCAAAATTGGGAACCCGGGCAGGGCTAGCTGTTTGAATTGCGCGGCGGCCAGCACTGCAACGCGATGATCGCTGCAGCAGGCTAAAAGAGCGCCAAACAGGTTGAGGTCTCATTCTGTGGTGGGTGAATGAGAAGTTGGAGAAGGTTGAAAGGGGGGGAAAACCGATGAAGGTGTGATATCATCCCCGACTCTTGCGGCCCCACTCTCTTCTTCCGCTTCTCCATTGTTTTATCTTCCATCAACTTCGTTCTTTACCTAGACTAATTCTCTTCTCTCTCTCCTCGCGACCTTTCCTAACTGCCACTCTACCTAATTTCTAAAATCTGTCATGCCTCGGAACCTCATCCGGCTACAGTGCCTGTGATCAACGACCAGCACCATCAGGCCCGTTATCTCCGGTCATTTCTCCGCACCAAAAGAAAGAAGAAAAAAAAGGAACCCCAATCGCCATAGCTTATCATAGCTTAGGCATCCTTCCACAATGGCCTCCATGGAATTCAATTACTTTCCCACCGAGGTTCTGATGCTGATTGCTGACTATGTATACGACCTCGCCACTTACATGGAGGATGCCAGCAATCGCGTTGAACTTAAGCAAGCGGCGGAACTGCAGAGACAAAACACTCTGTACAACTTTTGTCTTGTGAGCCACCAATGGTACTCAGTAGGAGTCGAGCTTCTCTATCGCAAACCTAGCATCTCCAACGGCAACAGGTTTTTGAAGTTCACTCAGTCTGTGTGTCCACCTATCAAAACAAAAAACAAGACCAAGTCCGACAGGGGCTCAATGATACAGGTGTTGGACCTGGGTCGACTGGTTCACCAAAGCTCGAACAGTGTTACTGCACGACTGCTCAGCAAGGCTAGCGAAAACATGGTTAGCCTTACAGCACCCCGGGTCTCGTTTTCGTGAGTCATCAAAAACACACTTCTCACCCTATATACTTGAGAAATCGGAAGTTTTAGCTAATCGTTGACAAGTTTGAATGGTCTAGCAGCCCTTGCGAAGTGCCAGAAGCTTCACAATCTGGATCTTAGCCGAGTGGGTGATTCTTCGCTGAGTTTCCCACAGCTCAAGAAGGCTATTAGCAAACTCACGAATCTCCGCAAACTTTCACTTCCGATTTACATACCATTGACCCGAACTCTGCCCACCACTGGTGAATGGCCTACTCGTCTCCTTGGTCTGACAATCGGTGGGCACATCGACCCCGATTTAATGAAAGGTTTTGATTGGCCACCTAACCTGATGGAGCTATACTTGTCGAATTGCAGAAACGTGGACGTCACGCTTCTCCATAATATTTTATCGAATGTCGGTTTTCAAGAAAGTTTGGAGCTTTTCGCCGTCAAACCGAATTGCAAAACCGATGGACTGTTCTACAATGAAGGCACAGGTGTCTTAGACGATCTGTACGCCCTTGAGAATCTCGAAATCCCTGCAAATCTGATCAGGTCTCTTCTACTGATGGAGAACGAAATTTTTACAGCCTTCTCGTTCAAGACTTTATGGTTGACTGAACCTGAGGGTGGTGTTTACCCTAACGACCAGGACGGTGTTGTACCTGGGGACTCGCCCTTCGTTGAGGATTTCATCGAATCCCTCAAAAAGGGCCCTCTTAGCGAACTTTGGGAACTCGCCGCCCCATATTCGTTCCTTGAGCATTATGGCCTGGATCCAGATATGCTCGATGAAATCGTGTCAAGTCATCTTGACGACGTTGAGGATGCTGAACTTGACGAGTGGGGAACGGACTTTGGATTCCAAGTCTTAGGCTGAGACTTGTCCTCCTGTTAAGCCATAGATTAATTACGTTCAAGAATTAGCGACAGCATAGCATCAAGATACCCATCAATGCCTTAGTGCATTTATCAAATGAAATAAAATAGCCGGGGCCTTTTGTTTATTTACCATCAGGTTCTGGAATGTAGATCTACGTATCGAATAATCGAAAAGAAAATTGCTTTTCATGCGAAATATTCACCTCAATCTATTTGAGATACCTAAAGCAAAGAATGAAACAAATACTACAGCAAAGCTGAACGACCGGGAAAAGAGAAGACCCTCCAATTTTGTAGTGAGCTTCATGGGACTCGTAAGACCAACAAAATCGCGCCAGAAGCACAGTGGAGGCAGGTAAAACACATAGCAGAGGATAGCAGGCTTCTGACAGGAATGGGAGAGAAAAAGAGGAAAAAATAACCAAATCCTCATGTCTACTACAATTTGCTATAAAGAAAAAAGGAAAATAAGTTAAGACATTAAGTGACAGATGCGAGCACCGCGGCAGCAACGCCCTCCTCTTCTGCCCGGACCGTGATCTTGGTTGTGACGCCGCTCTTGCTGGAGTAGGCCATCTTGATCAGAGAGGCCACTCTGCCGCCAGAGACAGTCTTGCCGAAAAGCTTGAGAGTGTGAGTGCTGTTGTTGAGGGCGATGTCGGTGCCTTCCAAGGGCTGGAGGGACAATGCGGAAATGAGTTGCTCAGTGGCATCTGATAGATCATTAGTATGTGAGGAAATGGAATGACTAGTGTTAGACATACCAGCAATGCCTTTCATGTTGCTTAGTTGTAGGGTCTCGCTCTCCTCCTCGCCGTTAGCGCCAGTCTGCTCCCAGACATGGTCGAAGCTGCCAGCGAATGCAGGAATGACATAGTCGCTGCCAGTAAGCTCGAGGTCCTCCACTTGGTACTCATCCTCGTAGCCCTCCTCTTCTGGCTCGCCAGTACTAGGATCAATCTCCTTGCTAGTGAACTTAAGGTTGTTGGTAAAGGAGGTGATAGGGACACTGTTCTCGCCACCGAGCTTCTTGAAGGCCACATAGACGACACCAGGCTCATTAGGCATAAGCTTGGGAGCGGGAATAATGAAATCGTCTTCTAGCACATCCTCCTCTGATGGTGAAGCAACCACAGTCACGTCTCCAAGGACAGTATCGGGAAGGGTGTTCTTGATATCGTATTGCACAACAATGTGCTCCTTGAAGATATGCTTAACAGCAGTGACAACGTACTCGGTCTCGCTCTCTGAGAGCTCGACAGGCGCGGAGGACTTGAGCAAGGTACCGTACTCCTTGATATCGGGAATCTGCAAGAGCTGTTCGGCGTATTTTTGGGTAGCAGCAGCAGTGGCTGCCTCGGCAACTCCGTTCGACTTGCCCTTGGGAGGACCAGCTGAGGGAGCCTTGAGGGTCGGTGTGGCTGTTGTGAGCTTCTTGGTCCGCTCCTCGGCCAAGGCCTGCTCGTGGGAGACAACGGGGACAGAAGCAACGTCGAAGGCCGTAGCAAATGTCTGCTTGTCATTCGAGGTCACATACATAACGAGCTGATGCTCAAAGGTGGAAAGGGAGTACATGGAATCTAAAGTTGTCAGTAAAAAGAGTGGCTGGGAAGTGTCGCTGGCATGCTTACCGTTCTTAATAAAGGCACTGGCTGTGGCATCTTCGGCTGCCATCAAACGGAGGTTGAGAGCAGCACGATCGCGCACCTCATCGTCAGTGTCATCAAGGCAGCGGGTGAGCAGAACGTGCACACTAGACTTGACTTCAAGGTCCTTCTGACCAACACCAAACTTGGCCAATGCAGTGACAGCAGCGGCACGCACAATGGCGTTTTCCAGAACAACGCGGTTATAGATGTATCGGATGTACTTAGTGGGGTGCGAAGTCTTGGGGCCCTCAACACCAAGCAAATGCAGGACACGAACAGACAGCTTAGTGAATTCGCAGTCCTCGATAAACTCGCAAAGATGAGCGAGAGCTAAAAGGTTCACGGTTAGATGTGATAACAGAAACCCACAGAGCCGTTGAACTTACCATCTTCCTTGCTGTCAGGAACAAACTTGATTAAATCGAACATGCTCTCCACGACGGTACGCTTGAACTCATAACCACCCTCATCACGCAGAATACCACTCAGGAAGACCAACATGCCAGCCTGCTTGCTGGGGAACTTCAGACACAATGTGCGGATAGCCTCAACAATAGTAATCTTGAACTCATCGGTGATATCAGCCATGAAACCCGAGATCTGCTTCATGAGACGATCCACACTAGCTTCGTTACCAGTCTTTAGCAAAGTTGTAATGGCAAATGTGGCGATAGAGCGGTTGGAGTTGGAGATGAGCGATTCGATATCGGGGTTGCACACATTGACGACGTGCGGCTTGAAGGAGGCGAAGTTGTGGAGAATGCGAATGGCGGCGAACTTCGTGATCGATCGAGGAGAAGACAAGAACAACTGTAGGACGTGAACGGCCTGCGAGGCCTCGGCGTCAGTGACATCCCGCAACTCGCAAATAGCCTTCGCAGCCTCAAAGTTGACCATCTCGTGCTTGTGACGGAGCCAGCCATCCAGCATCTGCACCATGGGCTTCCGGAGACCAGGGTCCTCCTCCGCCAGCTTGGCGGCCAGACGAACCAGTAGCACCAGAGCTGCCGGGCTCTTCACCACACCAGCTGCGCCGTACTGCTGCACCATCTTCACCAATGCCATGCGGTCAGGGGAACGCATCTGGTACAAAAGACCAATTGCGTGGTACTGGGTCATGAAATTGGACTGAGAGATAGCGTGAGCCTGGGAACCGGACGAGAAGCCCAAAAATCCAGTCGACTGCTTGGAAGATGAAGCAGCTTCCTGGGTTTCACTTTGCCATCTCCGGACAACGTCGCGCGCGATGGGGAGGAGGTGGTACGAGGAAACCAGGGCAGCTGATGAGACCGAAGGAGTCTTGTCGACAATGGCGGTCTTGATCAATCGCTCGATACCCTGCACAGTTGATCCATCAATGATGCGACACAGTGCTCGGATGGCATTGGCTCGGTACAAGACATCGCTTCCGACCGCGGTATCCTTCATGATGATACTGGTCGACATAATCACATCTTCGGCAGTATTGGCGAGCTCCTTCAAGATCAAATACACCATCTGTCGCAAAGACGGGTCCTTGTTCTGGAACAGCTTCGAAATACCGAAGAACAGGGTCGTGGCTTCGTTTGTGGGGAACTGCTCCCCGGTGAAGACGAGGACCGCAATCTTGGTCAATAATGTACGGCATGTTCGCGGAGAGATTGGTGAGGAGTTGAAAAGTCGGGCTTAAAAGAATTGGTCTGTTAGTCTGGTGCCCGTTGGGCAAGGGGAGGGGGAGGTGGTGAGCCGCAATAGCCAGGGGTCATGGTCATTTGCCATTGCAGATTGGCGTACCATCTTGGAAAACGGAGGTCCGATCAAGCTTGATCATGACCTGATCCGCATCTTCATCCTTCTTCATGTAACTCATTTTGCCCAGGTGCTGGGATTGCACCAGCGGAATGTACTTCGCGATCGATCGGTAGTCGGGGATTCAACGGGAGGAAGGACACAGTAACAGCAGGGAGAGCGGTGTAGGCAGCTACTGCATTCGCGTAACTTGCACCCCCAATGAAGTCAAAAGGTGGAGGAGAAAAAGAGAAGGAGAAGAGGTGGTGATGGTATCGCAACCTCGAGCTCCACGATCACTTGTTTATGGAGTAAAGTTGAATGGTGGCCTTCCGTGTGTTTGGCTGGCCCGGGCAAACACTGCAAACAGGTGGCATCATGGACTCACGATACTCTGCCTATCCCAACTTCTTTCTTACATTTACTTGATACATAAGTTTCAAGACAAATTCTTTGAGTTCTTCACTCCTATTATTCACCATGGAGGTCGAAGTCAACCCCAACGAGGATACTGAATGGTACAGTCCCACAAACACTACCTGCATCGTGCCCGCATCCCCCTCCCCGCTCGGTTGGAGCTATTTGTTGACAGGGTCTGATTATGCTTGTGCTATATTTAGGAATGACATCCTCCGCCAGCATGGGATTATACCTGAGAAACCGAAAGACCCCGAGCCATTGATTCAAGAAGCCTTGATCGCGGCTCAGCACAGGGCACATGAAAATCGTTTGGAGGACAAGGACCTCGATGAGCTGGACGCACTAGAGGAAGAGGAGGATGAGGGCTTCCTTGAGCAATACCGGTAAGTAGTTCCCAGTGACTATTGTTGTTATTTCGTCATTTAATCCATTCCATGTGCCACAATCTACATATGTATTCTCTCAAGGCTACAAGCTAACCCCCAACGACAGCCAAAAACGTCTCGCCGAACTCCACACTCTCCAAAAAACCAGCAACTTTAACCAGGTTTACCCCCTCCAGAAAGTCGACTACGGCCGAGAAGTCACCGAAGCCTCAAAAGAGGCATTCGTCCTCGTCAACCTCACCTCCCAGGGTGCCAACGTCGAGTCTCGTGTGTTGACGGAGCTCTGGCGACAATTGGCGATGAAGTTTGGTGATATTAAGTTTTGCGAGATCCGTGCCGACATGTGCATTGAGGGATATCCAGAGCGGAACACACCCACTATCCTTGTTTACAAGGATACTGAGATCCGGAGGCAGTTGGTTACTCTACGGGAACTGAAGGGCGTGCGGACTAAACTAGAAGGTGACTCTTTACCAAAGATACTATTTAACATGCTTGAGGGGCTTTGGACTAACTTTGTGAATAGATCTGGAACAGCTGCTCATTGAGATTGGAGCGCTGAAGGAGAATGATGTTCGTCTCAAGAAGCACGCCGACGAGGATGACTACACGTCCAAGGATGATGACCTCAATGTTGAGGATTATGATGATGATTGGGATTAGTCACATTTGAGCTAAGCTCTGCGATTCACCCATGTTATGATTTGATGTGTGTACATTATGAAATGCGCTCAAACAAAGTGAGACCATCCTTACCACTGCGATGACATGGAAGGAATTTGAACAGAAAAGGGAAAAATCTTAACGACCTGGAGACTGTTGAACAATCCCTCGATTGCATATAAGAATGACGGTTGTGGTCATGATTGCGCTTAAGTGCTGTTGATTAACCATTTATCCACCAGATTGACAATGCAAGATATATAAGCCCACGGGTATCAGTATTGTAGTATTCCGAGATTTATTTGGTTGTTGCACCAAACTTAGAACAACAAAAAATGTCCATATCCAATATGAAGTAAGAATAGACCGAAAGCGCTTAAGAAAAGGTCCAACCATCAAGATATCCAACCTACGGACAGATAGATCCATGCCCGCTAATCCCAATTTCATATGTCCAGCGCCCAACGACTCCAAGGGTAACCAAAGAAACGCCAAATTAATAAGGTAGAAATAATCAAAGACATAGACTCGTCATTCGATCAAAGAGAGAAAGAGAAAGTGGCCAGATGAAATCAAATCAACTCATCCCGGTCAGCAACACTCGCCTCAATAGCCCTCAAAACTTCACCCTCCTTAAAAGCAGGTCCTTGCCCATTACACTGGGCCATACCCTTAAGGCGATCAGCAACATCCCCAATATCAACCTGCCCCGCCTTATAAGACTCATGCGACTGAATAAAATCCCAGGTCGCACCCGCATCAAGTAATCTCTCGCCCGTGATCTGACAGACCATCACCCGATGCGAAGCCGGTGGTGCGTTGGCACTACTCCCTGGCGCGGGACCCCATCCAGACCCTTCGGGCATCAATGTGGAATAGAAATCCGTAGGGGAGTATTTCATGGGACCGGTGACGGGAGGCTGTTCTCTACTGGCGGGGTTATGTGGGCCGCCACCGTTCATAGAGCCGGATGTTACGCGTAGAATTTCATTTTCTGTTGCGAATTTGGCTAGTTCGCGCTTTAGACGTTCGTTGTCGGCTTGGAGGGTATTTGATGCTTCGGCCAAAGAGTTGACTTTGTCTTCGAGGTCTTTGACGTGACGTTCTTTCCTTTCGCGGAATGCTCGTTGACTATGTCATATGTTAAATAAGTTCTCTGGTCTTGGTTTTCTGGTTCCATGATGAAAGTGTATATAAGGAGATCGTATCACTTACGCTGCACGATTCTGCGCCTTGCGCTTGGTTTGCGCCGGTGTCATGGATTCTTTCTCTTCACTGCTGCTGCGGGCGATACCAGCATCCGCGAAATGATTTTCATCGCCGTCGATTGAGGGCGGGTCGAGTTTTGAATTGTTGAAGTCATTACTCGAGACGGAATGTTTGGTGAAAGAGTCTGGTGGTGAATGTGGCGGCGGGACAAAAGATGAGGGGTCGATGCGCAGGGAGCCTTCCAGTCCGGGGAAGTATTGATTGTAGGTATTGTGGTGCTGCTGATGATGGGGAAGTCCCCATATTTCATTAGTTGTCTGGATATCAGATAGAAAAGGTGATTGGGGGCATACCATAGAGAATGGATCGTTGAGGGAGTCCTCAGTCTGTTGCGGTGGTTGTTGGTCGGGGGTTGGCAGCCCGTACATCGAGTAGGGCTGGGATTGGTGGCCAGCATAGTTGGAGTAATTCATCTTGCGACGATCGCAGTGCCTATTATTGATGTTTTGAAGGAGGGGAAGGGAGGAGAGGATGATGGTCGTACGAGGGGAGGTTTCAGTTTGGGCGTCGGAATTTCATGGGGTTTTATGACCCCGGACTCTGACCGACTCTATTTTTCAGATTCGACCCATTTCGGCACGCCGCCACATGTACAATTCTAGGGTCTTACTCTATCTACTTTTTGATATCTAAACGTAGATCTATTTTTTGAACAATTCTTCCACACACAGCTCACCGCATACTGTTACAGTAACCATGTTATCCGACCGAGTGGAGTCTGGCCCGTGCGTGGAGCGCCCAGAACGGGGCGAATCGACTCGATGATCTCACCTCAAACTCAAGACAGACACACTATTAGATCGATTGGTCTACGAATCCATGGAAGCAGGTTGGGGGTAAAAGCGATTTTGATATTGGATGTGGAACACCACAGCGACTGTCGTTACTGTCTGGTCAGAAACTGCTAAAACTTTGGAAGCTGGCAGTCTGATAAACAACACATCAATCTCAGAATGCGATAGTTAGGGATTGAGCATGCAGTTGGGAATGACAAATTGGAGAAAGCTAGAAACATAAAACATGCAAATCGACGCAAAACCTCCCCGGAAGCGACCCTATCCATTTTCCGTCGCCATATACCAATCGAGACTAGATCTTCTTCTTTGAGAACAATCATAAGCCACTGAAGAAAGAATTCTTGCGCAGAACCCAAGGCAAGAATTCAAAAAGGCCCATGACATCCTCGAAGAAAGTCGTATCCCGAATAACTAATTCCATCCTCTAGACTGTAGCAGTCTTCTCCTCGTCCCCGTGCGGCGTCGATTTGCAGTAATAAAGATTTCAAACATGAGGGGGCAGGGGGTAAAAAGAAAAAAGAAAAAAGCAATTTGGGTGAAGGGGCGATGAGAGCACAAATTGAAGGTAGGCGCATGTGAATGCGGGTTCCAGGAATTCCAGGGCAAGCGATCAAAGCAACAGACACGTAATGTAATGTTCTGTTTCCAGGGTTGACGCCGTCATTTGCATCTCCGTCAGCCTTCAATCCGGTAATTTGCGAGATTGTTGAAAGAGAATGTAGCTGTCGCAAAGAACCGAAAAGAGGAAAGACGTAGGAATAGCCACCATATCAATAACGTTTCGAGACTGATCGGTTGTCCCGAGGGAACGGGTACATAAAATCCGAAAAGGGAAAAGCAGTCGTCAGGAATGTGCAGCCACCGAGGCAGCTAGACAAAACACTGAGGGATCAAAACGGTTTAAGTCGAAATATGATCGAGAACGGGGTAGAAGGGCGGTTAGAGATTGCAGAATGAATGGAGATCCAAGGAGAAAAGAAAAGAGAAATCCGAGAAGGTCGAGTGCAAGGAGTCACGTCCATGGCGAGTTGACAGTGGGTGTCCCGGGATTCTTCAAAGGTTGATGTGTGCATGCAGGAGAGGAACGGGGGGAAGCGAGACAAGGAACCAAATCCACCTAACCCCAGAGCTCTCCGCAAATACTCCACTATTAGTACCATTGTGCCCCAGTCCCATCGTCCCGCTTCGAACGGCTACCAGAAGGTCCATAAGCACCTATAGCAGCGCCCTTCGAGGCAGAACGAAGCCTAACGCCGAAGACTATGCGATTAGTCAGATTCAGAACTAAAGGGTCCTCCACGCCAGCGTCACAGAAGAAAAACACCAAACGTAAGAGGGAAAAGAGAAGGGGTTCCCTACTCGGAACCAGGTTTCAAAGTACTCACATCCTGTCACTTCCTCCCACGGCACGGTTGGTGTCCGGAGTGTTGTCGAGGGTGCCGCGGTCAATGACCTTGCGGCGCTGGCCCGAGATGGCACTGGGCTTAGCGGCGGCGCCACCGGCCATGGGACCGGCAGCAGCAGCACCCTGGCGGCGAGCGGCCTCCTCATCCTTGTCCTTCTTAGTGGCATCCACGATCATGGCGGCGTTCTTCTGGTACTTGTAGACGGTCCAGTCGAACACGTAGTCGTACTGGAACGACTCACGGACGAAGAGATCGCGGAAGATCTTACGAAGGTAGGAGTAATCCGGCTTGTCGTCGAAGCGGAGCGAACGAGTGTAGTTAAGGTAGATGGCGAACTCGTTGGGGAAGCCGCGGCAGAGAACCTCGGTGGGGGTAGTCATCTTCTTCTCCATGATGCGGTCGTACTTCTGCTTCTTGGTAGCAGCCTTGAGGCCCTGCCAGGGAAGAGAGCCACGGCAGAAGTAGAGCATCACGTAACCGAGAGACTCCATGTCATCACGGCGAGATTGCTCCACACCCAAGTGGGTGTTGATACTGGCATAACGAGCAGTACCAGTGAGGTTCTTATTCTCACGGTACGGAATGTGGAAGTGGGTCTTGGGATCGCGGTACTTCTTAGCCAGACCGAAATCGATCACATTTACTTGGTTGCCGCGCTTGCCGATACCCATGAGGAAGTTGTCGGGTTTGATATCACGGTGGATGAAGGACTTGGCGTGGATGTACTCGATGCGGGAGATAAGCTGGTCGGCGAGAAGGAGAACGGTCTTGAGCGAAAATTTGCGGTTGCAGAAGTTGAACAGGTCTTCCAGACTGGGCCCCAACAGATCGATAACCATGGCATTGTAGTCACACTCAGTACCGAACCAGCGGACGAAGGGGATACCGACACCGCCGGCAAGAGACTTGTAGACACGAGCCTCATATTCGAGCTGGGGGTGCTTGGCCTTGACACTCTCAAGCTTGATGGCGATCTCCTCACCGGAGATAATATTTGTGCCTAACAGTACAAAATCAGCCCCTGTTGACCAGAAGATCACCGAGATCTGATTTAGAATACATACCAAGGTAGATGTCACCGAAACTGCCGCTTCCGATCTTACGGCCAATGCGGTACTTGTTACCAACACGCAAATCCTGTGTATGATGTCAGCACCTGCTGACACTCGACAGAGGCAAGTTCGACGCGTTTTTGAGATAAAGAGCCCCTTTCCAACGGGTTGGGCGATGATCGACACAGGGACGCGGGGATGTGACGGAAAAAAGGGGCGTTAAGGGAGATTGGGCACTCACCATGGTCGTCATCCTGGATGGATTGGAGTGGCACAGCGATTAGCCGTGCAGAACGATTTGAAAGCTATCAGTGTCACTGGTTAGAGCGGATCGAAGACGTTTTTCACAGAAAATAGAGTAGGATGGCCACGGGGAAGAGCGTGGTCGATGAAAGGTGGTACAGGGTCAAAAGCAAAGAAGAATTGAAATTGAGGGGGCGCCTATCTTAGCCTCAAGCCTAAGGCGTAAACGGGCGCCGATGTGGCCAACACGAGGATTGTTGGGCCCTCACAGGCAGCCACAAAAGGGGTGACAAAAAAACAAAAGATTGGGCATATCAAGAAAGCTCGGGAATAGAAGGAATATGAGATCAAAATATGAGAGAGGAGGGCCATACCTAGAACGCAGATAAGGATCAAAGATGTCCAATGCCGACCGTACGGAAGCCGGATAGAGGGGGAAAGGGACAAGCAGGTGGGACACGGAGGTCAGGAGAAAGAAAAGAAGATGCCGATAAAGTCCAGAAGAGTCCTGGACTAAACACCTTAAAGAGGGATGAGGAGGAAGAGAAAGGAGAAAGAGGGGGGGGGGGGAAGTCGGTGTAAATAATTTTATTAGCGAAAGGCAGGTGGCTGAACAGTGACCTGCAGAGTACAGGGAGCCGCTAGGGATTTCTTGTGACGCCCGAGGTACCTGCCCCGTCACTTTTGCGCGAATTTATTTTACTAGTTGTTTTAACTTCATTTTATTGCATGATATGTAGAATTACTATTGTCTTTTCTTCCTGGATTTTTAAGTCAAATTTGAGGCTTTGAATGTCGGGCTCGGCACTTCCCTTATGTCCAGATATCCGATATACGCGCTCAGCTGACACTGGGATGCAAAACCTGAAAGTTGCCTTTAACAGATTAGCTGGGGTACGTCTACTTAAGTAGGTGATAGGTGCTTGCATAGATTCTATTAATATCTTTCCCATCCATTCATACAATTCCAGATCTAGACCCTGAATATGGCCCCTTCCATATCTCTAATGTTCTCTCCCAATACTGCCCAATGAAGGTACTGTCGATTCATGTCTCGGCTGGGCCCCAACCTCGGAAGCTACCTAGATTTGGAGTGGTGCCGTGAAATAGATTTGTTTGGCCTTACTGCATCCAAGCTGCATGGGGCCAAATGCGACCTACCGCGGCCGGGGTAGCATAGCGAGCAAATCAGATCCCGGGATTTCATGCTACTATAATCTACAATCTATACGCGAGGGCTTGGCTTTCGACAGGGGCTTGGAAAAGCAACGTGGATCTTCTTCATAGAATAATTGACAATTGCTGACTATTAGTAGACGGCGAATTCGTGGATGTGTTGATGGTACAGCCAGAGTCCAATAAACATCGGGAAACCGGGGTATAAAAGGAAGAAAAAAAACAACAAGGGGATAAAGAGAGACGAAAGGCAAGAGTAGGAGAACAAGAGTAAAGGACATCCAAAAGCAAAACAAACGAAGGGAATCCCGTCCCTTATGGCCGATCGGAGAAAAAGAATTCAAATCACAAAAATAAAACGGAAACAGTGGGAGAGACCAGGGGGAACCTTTCATATCATGCAAGGATCATGCTTCGCGAAATGACAAAGAAGAACGAAGTGGCAGAATACATGTGCAAAGCGCTCAGAGAATTGCAGACGGACATATCTCAGAACATGGTCGTAGAATGGGGAGTTGCTTAGATGACGTTGGCCGCACCGGTGCCAGCCATTGTCTTCGGCTTATTGCCAGTGCGCTCTTCTTCATCCAAGCGCCGACGCCACTCCGCCAGGCTGTCGTTCATCATGGCAGGGCCGTGGCTGTCCTCTTTGGTCGGGGTGCGTTCCATGTCCATCTGGCTGCTGAGACGGTAGTTGCGGTTGGTGCTTTCCCAGTGGCTGCGAAGAGTCTCGAGCTCA